TAATCCCTGATTTGCTCTTGAAAGGCTATTCAATTATTTCGTTCAAATCTTTCAGAGGATGCTGTGGATCGCAGCAGCTTGAATTTAATATTTTCATTCCGATTAAAGGTAAAGACCAGTTATGGTCATACGATTGCATTGTGAAAGAAACGTTGTGGAATCGATCAGAAAAGGTTGATCATCTAGCATCTAGCATCTGCAAGGTTCTGGAATCATCAAAATGATAAGAAATTTGGCCCATTCTTCGTAAAGTTACAAGCACTATACACAGAAAGATGTATATGGGACTACCCTATATCTCTCACAGACCATGAGAGAAACAAATTTACCAAATATATGAATTAGTAGGCGGTTTCCCGGCAATTCTTTTTATCATCATGTATTAGTCAAAACATATTCTTTCACATGATTGGTAATGAGAGCTTCCATTTCATTTTTTGAAATTGGGGCGTTTCCAATACTGGTCTTTACCTTTAACGCGTCTGCGATGGCTAATATTTGAGGACTCATGTACTGCAGTGGAATGCATGGGACTACACGGGGACTCGGGGCGAATTAGCCCCCGAAATGCCTAAAAGAGCCCCCGAAAATCAGTAAAGAGCCCCTGTAAATTTGCATAGAGTTCAATGCAAAACGAATTTTAGAATGTTATTTTAAGGCAGGCAAGCTTGAAAAGTAGCCCCCGAAAAATTGATATTAATTTATCCCCTGCATGGGAGAGTCACTTTTTAGGAGTGATTTTTAATTAGGTATAATTTCGTTGGGGAATGGAACACACAAAAGAGCAGGCAGTGTTTGAATTTTCCAAATATGAGACTGAGAGTGAATTTCACTCTTCTTGAACGTGGATTCCACTCCAAAGGGAGAAGTTTCTCATGCGAATTCCGAAAGAGTGAATTTCCATTCACGTATAGTCATCACCTGCTCCAAATACACTATTTCGGGCATACAAAAGAGCTAATGAAAATACACAGTCACGATATTACAATGCTTATTATTTGTATCAAATACACATTATATTATTTCTTATAGTCACATCATCCCAGTCAGTAATCTAGCAGATTAGTCACTCTATAAATCATGAATTAATCACATCTTCTACGACATGTTACCATGGTAACGATGGCATTCATTTTGAGTGCCCCGATCATCGATGTATATCTCGTTCTTATATAGTTTGAAGTCTCAACAATGGCGTCGTGCTTCTGGTTTGATTCATGTATCTTGAACATGTCTGTTTGTGGCCATTTTATACCAATATTATGTGCTACACTCTGGTGATCAATATTAATTGAGGATGACGTATTGGGAGAACATAACGGCAGAGGAAAATGAAACTGTGTCACCAATTCCTTTGTCAGTCTAAATTCGTATAAATCATTGCATGCTTCTCAAAGAAAGGGATGTCTGCGTGCGATAAGGCAATCTTGAATTTATAATGTATCTGATGTGATGATTGTATTCATCCCTTGTCAACAAGAGAAAGAGATAGACAGAGAGGGGGAGGGGAAGACAGGTGGGGGATGTGATGGTGTGCAAATGGATAACAACACGAGGGTAAGAAGAGACACAGAGAGAGAGAGAGAGAGAGAGAGAGAGAGACCTACAAGAAGGTAGAAAGAGAAGTCAGACCTTTCTTATATTTTGTAGCCTTGTTACGTCTGATTCTTGTTGTAATATAGAGGCCTAAACTTTTGACACCAAGGTTCGTCCGACAACCATCTTTGAAATCATATCATTGAAACTAATCCAGTAGTCACCTGGTCAACTGTATATAATAATAATAAATCTATTAAATAATCATGAGAATACCCTACGCTATAGATATGTTTATATTTGGAATCGAGGCCATGTAGTGACCCATCATGCATGCCGAGGTAGTTTTTGTTTTGACGTGTTTACATTTTTAAAGCGTTCGCACTTAGTTGATCATGACCTCTGTGACAAATTATCTTGACATGTGATCACGATGACCTGACTGAGATGGAATGCGACGATCTCAGATCATTCAAGATATCAGTTGCCTCGGTTTCTGATAATTTATTCGTGCCTTCCCCCTTATTGGATGCTTAAGACTTATGGTACGAGAATGCTCATAATTTATAGCCGAATACGGTTACAAGGCAAGATGTCTTTGATAGCAATGGGTCATGGTTCAATTTCGGAAACTCGCTGCTTTGTTTTGTTCACGTACGCCCACTCCTTGTCAATGGATCATTATCACCAAATATAAGATTTTCTCTCGTCCTGTCCTACACAAGTAGTGTCACTGTCATGATGTAATTATTTCCACTTTCGTCTTTCAGTCTTATAGATGTACTTTGTGTTAGCCTTTATTTCTTATTGTTGGTCTCATTGCTGTCCTCTGTGTGTCGATAAAAGGAGTTGTGATATTTGCTACTTGGTGCTTCTAACAATCAAGTTATGTGGGTTACACTGGCCCGCCTACTAAGGCAGCCACTATTTTTGTTTTGCCAACCAGTTGCCATCAAATTTTCTGTCGTAGGGCTAAATTTCCGTTGCAATTCTAAAATGTGTTCCTTTATGAGTCTATATATGCATCGCCCATAAATCTGCATTCTTCGAATTGTAGTCTTTTTTTTGGGGGGGGGGGGGTGAAAAGAGGCACTTGAGAAAATTATAATCTTAGGGTTAGGACCTTTCTTATTTTCACCGCACCTACATGCCATATCTTATTGAAATGGCGTTTAATAATCACGACTGAACCAATCATGAACCAATCATAATTTTCAAATTTCATAGAAATCTATTTGTTTATTATATTCTTACCTTGAATTTCTTGTTTGTGGAAAGTATAGTTTACATTTGAAAATATACGAATTGTCATCTGAAGCATGAGTAATTGCAAACGAAATAACAACCAATAGTGTTTGCCTGGTTATTCGCCTCGTATCATTTCGCAAATAGCGTCACGAGTTATCATCTCACATCAGTAATTTTCAATGGATTAGATTGATGTTTGAAATGTGTCCCATGAAGGCCAGTCAATATTTGCATCGATATATGATTTTCAGGTATTTTTTTCTTTCGTTCCCACTCGACCACAAAGGGTCTGTAATCCATGATGGTATCACCGTCAACCGGCCATTGTTTGATTTCGTATTGCCAACTCTTGTTTACAACTGAGCAGTAATTGCCAGTAGTGTCTTTGAAAGTCCCCTGAGCTTTTATATGTTGAAGTATTAATAGTAACCGTTACACAATAATTGTTTATCCTTTGTCGATTATGAATGGAACATATTTGTCGTTTTAGATGCAACTTTCTGTGAGAGGAGCAATGAAAATAATAACCTTTTTAATAATTTACACAATTTGGTGTCAATGCTTGTAAACACTGTTCATCGTCGTTGTTAAGATTTTTAAGGTCAGGGAATGTTTGCCCAAAAGAGCCATTCTTGCGTTGCTTTTCGGAAGTGGTTTATTCCACAAATTCCATAGTTTTAACACGACGTAATTTTACTGAAGCCCGGGTGCATTATATTCTGCAAGCGTGGTCAAAATATAATTGAAGTTGGCCTTCTTTGTTAGTGTGTTCTATTTTGAACTTGACCTTGAGTTCTCGTCATGGCATTGCACTTTAAGAGAATCTGGCTGAATTGTAACCACGTGTGAATAGTTTGTTTAGAATTGAAAATGATTATTTTAAGAATGATTTATAAACAAAATAATAAATTATATTATTAATTTTGGTCTTATTTAGACAGAGTAGCCACGTCAGTATTAACAATACTCTCCCTACGGGGCTTGTAATTGTTGGTACCCGAGTGGGACAAAAATGAATGTCGACAAAATTACCTTATCCAAGCCAAGATGTAAGCAGGAACTGAACCCGGGACCTCTCGTATAAGAGCTAGTGAACAGCCTTTATCAATATACCACAAAGCTCCTAAGACTTGCCCGTGACTTAGCTATATTGCCTTTCATATCCGTCTGGCATAATAGAGTATATTTCAAATAATTTTATGGATTGAACATGCAGTCTGAATTTCATAATTGTAATTAAGGTTGAAAGGTATGCGAAGGAAATCTGAAATTTTAGCTAAAACATTTCAAATTTTCGCGCTGACAGTCTATGCAGTATGCAGGCCCCGAAGATATTTTTATTGTGACTGTACATGTATTCTCAATACAGTGTTTTCAATTTTATGAATGTTATAAACGCGCGCTCGATTTCAAAGAAATAAAGATTGTTACAGATGTTGATATAGTCCTTCATAACATTATTTATCACACATTGAACGTTGGACTGTGTGATCGCATTTTTTAAAAAGGTATTGGCATAATGTAGCAGTTGAACTATATTAGTATGTTTGCCCGATGAATATCTACATGTATATATGCACAGATGCATGTCATTATACATTTGGAGCTTTTATTACAAGCAAACATGGTCCAAAGTCCGCGTTTGGTGCAAACAATACGTGTGCATCGAGAAATAAAATATACTGCTTAATACTGCGGTGTGGGTGTGTACCAAATCTAATTATGATCAACCAGTATTATGAAAGCGTCGTTGTGCTCTAGAAACATTGAACGGATAAAAGGTTTTGGTTCTGTTTTCCGCGTAGGAGTTGCTTATCATCATATCTTCTCAACTATTCAACAACAAAAATGTGTGATTTGCTTCTTGAAATATTCTAAATTGCCGGTACTTTTGCATTTTCCAGACGATAATAATAATAGTGACGATATGCTATAGAAGACGGGTGTATATATTTGGATTTTGGTATACCTGTACTTTAATATTGATAGTGGTCCACTCTTGCGCCTGCACTTGCAAGCATGATTCAGACAGGGCTGCTAGTATAAGTGTTCGTTCGTCGTCTTGAGAGGGAAATTGGTATTGTTGAACTTTAAGTAGTTGCTGTTCTCTGGTCTTTGCCAGCCGATTTTTTTTCCTCAAAAGTATATATGTTGTTCTATGCATAATTATAATCTTGCTAATAATTCTTCCCCTCTTGTATTGCTTTTTGTTACAGAGAGGAGTCTGACGTGGACGAATTCGGGACAGACATCGACAATCCCGAGAAGTCGCCGTCAAAGGAAGATCGACGTCGAACAAATTCAAACGAAGGTCCAGATGACAGCAGAATCGGCACGACGGCCGAGAACCCGACACCCGAGAACCCGACACCGACACCGTTACAAGCCAGACCGGAGTCGGCCAACCAACCCGAGAGAGCGAAACGACGGCTCATTGAGAGTGACAGTGACAGCACACATAGCAGCTTAGACGACTTCGCCGATGCCATGGATACCGTGGAACATCCAGACGAATATCCGGACAGTTATAGATTGAGTGATGGAGCAGGTGATATATCACGTGATCAAAACATGGAGGAGAGGGAAGACGAGCAGTATCAGGACCAAGCAAGAGATGATGCTTTCTTAATTTTAGACGCTGATGATGGTAGTGAACTGTTGCAAGGTAACGGTGATGCCAACACACCAAAGCATGCCGATCATTGGGTTGAGGATGTGAATCTTCCAGAAGATGTGTCATTCACAAGTGAGGAGGATAGTAATTCGGATTTTGGGTTAGATGAAGCTTTGGAAGAGGCCTACGCCAAATTAGATATGCAAGATAAGGATGAAGCATCCAAGAATATTGAAGAAAGGACAGTAGGTGAAAGCTACTCTCATCCTCCAGTGCCCGTGAGCGAGGATGTGAACCTAAGCTTAACAACCGAGGAAGAATCGTCTCCTGAATCTTCAGCTGTTCTAGAAAGCAATGATGACAGTCAAAAGACACCTGATGAATCAGAAGATGATGGGACGTCTGTTGATAAAGACATCACCACCGTTCAAACATCTGTGGAATACGTCGTGGTCGAATCAAACGACGTGCCTAATGCTCCCGTGGTTAAAAATGCTATCGATGACGATGTCGTCGAAGATGGCTCGGATGACACAACGACGTCGAGTGATGCGGATACGGTGAAGGACGCGGGAGTCGACGTCAAGGAAAGGGAGCACGAGCTTGACTGGGATGATAGGACTGATATTGAAAATGTTGGTGCTGATGTTATTGCAAATGAATTGTGGAAGGATGAACGAATTGAGGTTTTGAATGTAGTTGCCGATCGTATTTCGAATGAAATGGTTGACGACATGTCATATGATGTGGACAGTAGAAACAACACCTTCCATGAAGAGGTTGCTGAAAATGTCAGTGACTTCGTACAGCCGGTAGACAGTCAAGAGGTCGAGTGTGTGTTGAGGGATAACGTAGACATTGAAAACAAAGTATCGGACGGAGAAAAGTATGACGCCAACCGCGTCAGTGTTATGAATATTATTGTAGAATCTCTCGCAAATGAAATGGTTAGAGATATTCTCGAAGAATCAGTAATTAAGAGTAGACCCACCGTAGCAGCTGATGACAATGAACTTCCACAGACTGGTTTCGATAGGAATGGAGAGGAAAATCAGTTACCGAGTGGTCGTCGCGTTAGTGATATCCCAATCCCACAGATCAGAATTGATAGCGTTGATGATGATGATTTCGTGGTGGAAGTGAACGTTGGAGAGGACTTTGCGTCACCACAATTGGGTGATGAGAATACAAACACAAGTGCGCTTCCAGAACGAGATGATGACCATAAGGTGCCTAATGATGATGATTTTGCCAAAGAAGCCTATAAACCGAGTGATTACATTCCAGGGAATGATGAAAACCAAAATCAAACAAAAACACAAACACAAATTTCCACCAACATGGATGTGACTGTGAGCGTAAGGAGCGATGACGAATCAGAAAGTGACGTCAAGCATGATGTGGAAGTCAACACGATTCCAGATGTTCGAATAGTTGCCACTGTGAAGGCATCAAGCGGGGATCCTTCTGACGTCAAAGATTTGTTGACGAAACTCACGGGTGAGGATGTACAATCCAAGGACACTGGTGACGAAGGTGATTTGGACAATGACCCGAAGCTCGACATGGTGGAATTCATGGCTACCATTAGAAGGACAAACATTGATGATTACAGTGATGATGACGGTGGTGATGATGTTAACCGCGAAAGGCAAGCTGTGGATGAGGAGCTCATCTCATCGGCAGCTGCACGACCAGTGGAATGTTCAAGTGTAGACTCATTCTGCTCACGCCCGCAAGAACCAGGGCAAGACCTGGACATAAGCGATACTCCATCCAAAGTTCCCAAAGCCACACCTCAAAAGGTCTGTGAGGATGACTTGGTTGCTAGCGATGTGAGGAAGAAGGTGAACGGTCATGTTAACTTGAAATCACTTTTGAAATCACTCAACGGCGAACTGTCGGTGGATGTCGATTTAAATGATTCTGACGTCGGTGAAGCGAGCCCTCAGAGGAAGAAAGTCATCACTGATGAAATGGTGAGGGAAGCCATTCAATATCTCCTTCAGAGACCTTTCCTGTACTCCTACGGCATGTACGATAGTGCAGACGATCTCTTTTACAAAGCAATTATTGATGATTCCAACGGCGGTCGGACCTTTGCGCTGGTCAGTAGTCTGTTCGGTAAAGAGATGACCCCAGAAAAAAAGTCAGCGGTCTTTGCTCTTGTCTCCTCCAAAGAAAACCTCAACGATGACGACGATCTTTCTGAAGTCGATGAACCCATCTTCCCAGAACCACAGGATGAGGAAGAGAGCCAAATTAATTTTGAGGAACTCTTCGCTTCTCTCGAGAGAAGACCGACTGAAAGAGACGACCAGTTTAACATTCCACCAAAGCAGGAAGTGAAGGCAGGTTATATGGCTGACGCCGCTTCTCTTGAAATAAGACCAACTGGAAGAGACGACCAGCTTAACATGCCTCCAAAGCAGGAAGTGGAGGAAGGTTATATCGCTGACGCCAGTGGTGGGATGGAGGAATCAGTGCCCGTGTCGTCCCAGAGAGTCACCGAGGGCTATCCTGAAGAAGAGGACACAGTTCCTGAGAGATTGGGACCAGATACTATTTTTGACTCAGACGATGATTCTTCCTCAGTCTCAAGTTCAGATACCTCAGGTATGAGTTGTTGCTTTATCAGTTTGGATCTGAGCCAAAAACTAATCACTTCACCAACGGAATGGCTATCATTCTTAAATTTGTTATGAGTTTTACATTTGATTTAAGATTAATACAGCGTATACAATGTGAAATTCAACGTGTTCTTTTAAAGAAAGATCCCTGATGAAATTCCGTTCCATCATAGGGATATGAAGTTTGACTCTAACCCATACCTCGGAACAGTTAATTATCATGCTATCGGACTAATATTACACGCATTTTTCTTTATTTGTCTCAAATTCAGAATTGTCCTTTCATGATAAAATTCGTTCGAATTCAGATAAAAGAGATGATTCAAGAGGCAACAAGTCAAATCTAAAGACGCGATTTCTTATTTAGTCTACTCACATAAAATACTTCACATCACTCTTTTGTTTAAATTTATTTCCTTTCGTTTAGGAGTGGCGCAGTGTTTGTGATAATTTTCTACTATTTATAAAATCAGAAGTTCAGAGTTCTTTTATTAACCGTTCACCAAAAGTATCTGTAATTTGAATTATGATGTTCGTATGAAGTTATACCCATCCCAATAATAAGTGCCTCATCTAAATTTAAATTATGCTCTCCGAAGTTGATCATAGCTCATACCGTTTTTCCCCTTCTTTTCGTCATTGTCCCTTTCAGGAACGTACATCCTCGATAATCAAGTGGGACTAGTCGAAGAAGACGAAGAGGAAGATCAGGAGAGGACATGGTACAAGGAACCCTCTTACCCACATGATACATCACATGATCCCGCAAACCAGTCACGTGAGGTACCCGGTTACCACAGTTACTACCAAAAACAGCTCGAAGAAGAGGAGGAGGTGGAGGAGGAGGAGGTGGAAGAAGAGCCAGAGAAACCGCAAGCTAGCAGGATGTTCTTCATCACTAGTGCTATGCTGGCGCAGGCGAGCGAGCAGCAGAATGGCGAGTCCTCGTCAGACAATGAATACGAGAGACCTCGCAGACAGTCAGACTCAGATTCTAGCGAGGACTACCTCGAGGAGATCCCTCCTGGGTATGGACCTAACAGCGGGAACAGTAGCTGGCCACAGGACCTGGTTACTCAACACCAGTATCTTCCCGCGGACGACCCCACCAGATCTTACCCGAGCGAGGTCCCGACTGCAGAATATGATTATGACAATGGTATGAGGTTTAGACCGATTTCTGGTGGAGAGTCATCTGTTGAACCGACCCCACGTTATCCCACTTCTCAAGCACTTAAAGACAATCAAGAGATCAAACATCCGTCGCAAAACGGACACCACGTATTCAGCGACTATGACTCTTCTTCTGAATTGTTAGAGATCGAAAAACAGGGACAGAAACTATTTCCATCATCATCGCAGCATGATGATAACCTCCCTCCACAAAAGATCGAAAAATTGCAGACTAGTGATGAAAGCATTGATTATTTGCCTGCTCGACTCTTGCCCGCAGCTGAGCATACTGTGACAAAGAAGATGAATTACCCTGACGAGACGGCTCCTACACGCATTACAGATTTGTTGGGAAATGGTACACAGAACAACGGTCAGCATCCTCCAGAAGATTTTAGGTGCATCCCAGAACCCACTATTACCAGAGACATGGCCGTACCGGAGCAGTTACAACCTGTATTTACGCGACCAGTTTTCCATCAAGGTTTACCGGAGGATGAACCGCACGCGCAGTCATATGAATCGCTGGAAAGCTATCCTACTCGTCATCCAGAACCAAGCATGGTATCAGCCGAGTATGCGAAGACTAACGGACATACCGAGCCATTGAGCCAAAGTGATGACAGTATGTGGTTGCATTCTGATTACCGAGGCTACTCTGGGTCATCAGAAGATGGTGGAGTTGATTACGATGATGATACATCGTTCGCTTCTGGAGAGCGTATGTTCGCCTTAGTAGGCCTACGGAGCCATTCTCCACCCGCTGCTCTCTCAGTGACTGCTTCCATCGAGGTATATCGGGCTGAAGAGCACATGGAAACTCAAAGGAGCCTTTACTCATATGAGATCAGCAAGGGCATCGCAGGTCCAGAGGGCAAGATGGTCAAACTACAGGAACAGTCGTTCTCCTTCGAACATCATTCCGACATTTATGTAGAGTCAACAGACAGCCGGTATGATGTGGTCATCTCCGATAGCGTCTCTGACAGCGCTGGAGAACAGTTCCTGAAACTAGGACAAGTTGAAAACCATCCCGAACAACCCCATGAACAATCACAGTCGTTTGCATCCGATCGTCGTTCGGATAATGCTGAAGATTCATTAGACAGCCCTGGTGAGGGTTTCAGCATGAATGAGACAGTCACAGCTGATTTCGCCGGAGAGCAATGCGCACCACCAGGACAAGCAACTGACTACCAGGCGGAAGACTTCAAGCTTGATCTTCCCTTTGACTCAGCCGGAGAGGAACTGTCCGAGAGAGAAGGTCTGCAGCGTCAGGTGGAGTCCTTGAGCGAACTCTTGTCGGAGAGAACCTTAGACATGCAGAGGTTCAAAGACGACTATCCGTTCCTGGATCGGATCATGGGCAACCCTAAAGAAGGTGTGGCGGGGTACGAAGAAGGACAGCTCATTGGTTTGTTAGAGACATACAGGCAACTGGAGGAAGATGTACTCGAACTGATGAATATCTACAAAGAGACCAAAACTCAGCTTACAGAATTAGATCAAATGGAGAGAGCGTAAGATGTAATATACAACTACATTATTTGAGACTTTAATTCTGTTTCATCTTTTCCATTCTTTCCGACCTCTTCCAAATTGTCTTGACCTACACCTTAATTTATACCACATTCATATATATATAATTTCAATTCTAGTGTACTCGATATACCTTCTACTGTTTTGATTCTCCGCACAATGATTGTTTTGTAGAAATGAATGTATAACTTGCCGCGTGCGTCGAATCATGACTAAAAATTTCCATAATCTGGGATAACTGAGCATGTAGATTTAACGTCGGTTCAGCTTTTCTTATTGTCAAGTTATTTCAAAAGCAATTTTATCCACACGAGATTTAAATTACACATGTTTGGTCTACCCTGAAAATTACGTATATTTGAAAATGTGAAGTGCATTCCACTTTTTCCATGGTAATGATACTTTATCAAAGAAAGCAAAAGGAGACATTTATATCGGCAGGACCGCTAACGTTTATATTATATGGCGCTGTGCGCAGGGTATAAGTTAGATTCTATTTCGTCACAATCAGATAAAAGTAGCAGAATATTTTACTTAAAACACTCCATTATTTTAAATGATAGATACTTATATCTCCCATTTCTGTGTGTCACGTACAATCAGGAAGTTTAAATATCTTAGTTAATATTAATATCATCGCAAATGGGAACTATTTTTATACGTTAATGATGGTCATATTCCTCATATTTAAATTTTCAATGTTCTAAATTGTAGAGGTTATAAATTATTGTAAGATTATACATTAGGCCTACATAATTATAATCTTACTGGATAATAATGCATAAATGTTTTTGTGAAATCGAAGCCTCGATCCAATACCATGCCCACTATTTCAAGTTGATATATCGGCAACAACAAAAAATCATGGTCAGAAAAGGTGTTTGAAAACGAGTTTATGTATATATGCTGAAGAAGACATTGATTTATTCTTCCAAACTATGTCATAAATGACAAAACTTATATACCAAATACTTGTTATAATTATGATCGACTATGTAATTCAATCACACTTTGAGTAAACTTATCATAAATGTTGCAAAATGCATTCACAGTATGTAAAGAGTATAGTCCTCTGAATGTCGCCTTCAATTTACTGACAAAGGATTGTGTGATACAGCCTTATTACATAGATTGCAACATCTTCTTTGCGATTTTAAGATAATTATTTCTTAATCTCTTAGATATATTTCTATTTCAATTAGTCTTCCATTTCTTACATGGGCCTTATTTTTTAGAAATAGAAATGCTTTAATGAAATTTTCTGAAAGCGGGGTGTGGTATATTTTTTCTTCTGAAATACATGTATCATATTTCTGTATGACAAGCAGCTATTTTCGCCGACATTTTCCACTCGAAGAGGACGAGTTTTTGCATCTTATCTAACCTCATTTTTCATGTTTGGGTGAGCTAACAAGTACTGTGAATACTTCACGTGTCTGAAATAGTAAGAAACGCCTTTTAAATCCGCTTTCAATAATGAAACTGTTCTATGAACATTTCCAAATCATCAATTTCCAAACATTAACTTTTCCTGCACAGTGTATTAAGTGCTCTAATCATTTTGTGAATGTGTGGAATATACGTTTTTATTTCTTTAGTATTTAAACAAAAATATGTCAATCTAGATGTTTATATAACAACGTAAGTCTACCTTGCCGCGCTATAAAGACTGGAAAGAAAACTTGAACGGGCAAATGAGTAACAGCAACATCTCTAAAGTAGATTCGATGATCATTTTTTTAATCACCTTGTGAAGGGTATAACTAAAATGATTCATATTGGAAAAAAAAACAGTGAATATAAAGATTCTATTCCATGCAACAATGGAATTGTGGTTACTTATCGGTGCTCTTAAAGTCAACATGCCTAAGATATTTGAAGAATATAGTGTCTTATTGATATTTCGCACTTTCTCCATACTTGTCATTTTTTTGATAAAAGTTTCCTAATAATGTATATAAAATTGAGCATATACACTTTTAGGATTGATGAAGTTATAAGATTATAATTTAACCCCGGCGAGTTATTCGTAAATACAACCGAATTTGTAAACAGTGTGAAAACTTAGCAGAACATAATTATCAGGCCCCTGTTTCATAAAACTTGTCATTAATAACTGTTATTAGCTTCTAAAATCGAAGCATCTGATTGGATAAGAGCTAATTTGTCATAACATTTTAGTATTTTGTTAATGATAACAAGTTTTATGAAACAATGTCCAGGTGATTGTAAATACATGTACACCGATTATATCTCGGCGGTCTTTTGACAACATATTTTTGGGGACTATCACGAAATTGAAATTGTTAGGTCTAGTCAGGGACATATCCCTGGTCTAGTGCTGCTCCTGAACCGTGCATTACTCATGACCCTTCGGCCTCGCGGACAATCGGTTAACTGCAGGCTACAGCCCTGTAAATGAGCATCTAAAAAATTTGTTTCTATGTTAATCGCCTTTATATTGTATTTAAGTTTCAAGTTTCAAGTTTATTTATTTCACTTTATCAAAAGTAAAATAATTGAACATAGTGAACCTGGAAATTATTATAACTAAACATACAATATAGAAAACATAATGTACATAGTAATAGTTATAACAGAGGATGCAATCATATAAATCAATCAATTAAGTGGGGGATCTACTAAAAAGCAAAGCTTGTAGTAGATTTTAATCATTTAGTAATCATAGGCATATATGTCTGATTATGATATGTAATAGGCAAACAATATTATGACTAATTAGAATTACGACACATCATTTTGTGTGTGTAGATATAACATAATGTATATATATGTATATTTCAATATATTATATTTCAAATTTGTTTAGATGTAATTCTATATCTTTGTATCAGTCTGTAAATATACCAAAAACCTTTTGTAAAGTTTGTATTTCGTTCTGATTCGAAATACACGAATTTTGTTTTTATATAGAGAAGACAATCTTGCACAAAAAACCTGATGTTTAAATTTTGATTACGTCTCCGTTTTCGTCGTCTCCAATCGAGAAAGAGAGAGAGAGAGGGGGAGAGAGAGGGAGAAAGACACAGAGAGAAGTATACAGAGCGGGGAGAGGGAGGTATAAAGAGGAGAGGGTGAGTTATAGAGAGGGGAGAGAAAAGAGAGATATTAGATGAACAGTAAAGAGAGATATATCAATAGGGAGAGAGGATGAGAGAGAGAAAGTAGAGAGAGGTTTAGGGAGAGAGAGAGAGAGAGAAAGAAAGGTATAGGGAAAGTAGGAAAGAGAGAGAGGTATGTGGAAAGAGGGAAAGAAAGTAGAGGGATGTATAGGGAGAGAGGGATGTATAAGAAGAGATGGGAGTGACAGGTACAGATGAAAAAGAGGTGTGGTCTGATATAGCGAGAGGTTACTTGTTACTTGTAGAGATAATCCCGATGGCAGCTATCATACAGCTAAACTTTGGGGCGTGACATGCTTTCGAGTAATAGCAATTTAAATTGCTCTTGTCACCCCTGACCAGCAGATTGTATCCTTCTCTCTATCTCCTCTCCACTTTCATAAAGCTGTTTGAATGAATTATGAAATGTCTATGTATTATCTGATTGTTATACTCATTGTATGTTTTCCGATTGGTCAAATAAATAATAAAAATAATAATAAAACTGGGATGTCGTGGGAAGAGGTGAGGAGGTGTAAAGAGGGGAAAGGGAGATTAAGAGAGAGAGGGTAGAGAGAGAGAGAGATGGTGGAGAGACTAGAGAGAAGGGGGTATAGAGAGATAGTGGATATAGGAAGAAATATGGGGTTATTATAGTGAGAGGGAAGAGGAAGGTGTAGAGAGGGAAATAGAGAGAAGGTATAGAGAGAGAGAGAGAGAGAGAGAGAGGGAAAAATACTGAGAGGGGAAAAAAGAGAGAGAGGGGGGGGGGAGGGAGATAAAGAAAGAGGAGATTTCTTTTTCTTTATCAAACATAAGTTCATCACCAAGATTAAAAAATGTCATGGAAAATACTCTATCAAAAGAATGACGATCATAATTCGAACAATGATAAACTGGCGGGGCGGGGAGGATATAGAAACCAATGCGAAAGTTCAATGCAAATTCAACGCGCATCTGAAAGTGCGTTGAACAATGGTTGCTAACGCGCACGAGAGATGGAATTCATTGCGTCATCACTGTGACGCGGTCCTCCTAGCAACTGGCTTTGCATGGCATGCCGTCTCCATCCACATGCGATCAAATCAACTCTTTCAACTAGGACAAAAAGTTTGATGTTCTTAATATGCATAATATTTTGATTTTGATAGCTCTGTTTAGATGAATTTACAAGATATCGGACAGAGTCGCTTTTACGAGATACACGAGAGAAGAAGATTGTGAAGGTAAGACATTGTTTCGAGAATGATGAATTCCAAAGTTTTAACTTTAATTAAAATTGGGTGACCAGCCAACTAATAAAACTTAAAAGAAAGGGAAAATATATGGTGAAAGGACTTTCTTGATAATTGCTGTTAGACTTTAGGAAAATATTCCTGAATTAATATTACTTTAGTTCTAGACTAATTACAATAATTAGTTGTCATTTCCGATACTAGGCCTATTTCGAACCATCCAACACTCTTCTTCGGAGTATTTAGGAGGAAAAGAATCCAAGAAGATCCAAGATCCATCGCATGCGAACTTTTGGAATCATTGTTTGAATTATAAGGGGAAAGGCCTAGATCTAACCAACCTTTCCGGACGCACGTGGAAGTTGCAGAAATCTTACTTAGATCTAGTCAGGCGAAGAGATTGATGTTGCCATGGAAAATTATATGACGATAGTTATGATGGTAATGATGATCATGATGATCATGATGATGCATAGTCTAAGCCTGTCAGAAGTCAGTTGACGGGGCTCGACAACATGAACCCCGTGTAGCTTACATCATACATAACAATGAAGATGACAATGAGGATAATGGTTGTAACGATGATGATGGTCATGATGATGATGGTGAAGTTGATGATGATGATGATGATGATGATAATAATGATGATGATGATGGTGATGATGGTGGTGGTGATGGTGGCGGGGATGGTGATAACGGTGCCGACGATCTTCGACCTGAGCGGAGGTGATAACAAGAGAGAGAGAGAGAGAGAGAGAGAGAGAGGTGGCGATGGTGGTGATGATAATGATGGTGATGATGATATTAATTATGTTTATGCCCCCCCCCCCCAAAAAAAAAAAAAAAAAAAAAAAAATCAGTTTGACTTTTAGTTTCAACCAACCACATTCTAGGCCTATGGCTTACATGAAGGAAGGGGCTGTTGTCAATAGAATTGATCGAACCGGTCATTAGTTTATACTTCTTTATTAGATATTATCGTGCCAATTGCCAAAATGGGAATGATTACACCCCACCCATGAACAGAAATGAAATGCTTTCTTCTAATATCATAGTTGAAAACATTATGATACTTGCAGGCATTAACTACATGTACATCCTCGTGATTGTGTATATTACAGGCTCTGCATATTTTGTTGACATTGATAAGCCTTGTTTGTTTCAGTGGTTGTCAATAAATGTCTTGGCTGTTTTAAAGAGAAAAGAGATTCGTAGGAAACGATATGCCTATAATTCACTACTTGAAATATATCTTCCACACGTTCCTTTTAATCTCAGGCAGCTGGCGCTGATGTCAAATTATATCAAGAGGTCTTCCTATAGCAAAGAAAAAAATGCATTCTGGACACAAAATTGAGAACGGACAGTACATCACTGGTAAACAACATGAATATGAGGAGAGAAAATCATCCCCATCTGCATCGCCTACATCCTCTACTGTCAAAGGATTAGATTCAAAATCACCTCTGAAGATTCCACAAGGAGTAATTGTCCGGACTCCTAGCGGGAGGGACTGCCAAGGACGTAAGACGCCACCTCGCTTCTTTGCCATCACGAACGAGCAGCTGCAGCAGATGCATTCAACAGCAAACTCGGAATCGATAGGACCAACGCACTTTAAATTCCAAGATGCGAATCAAACTGCGGATAAAGCAAAAGAGTGTGTCTGCACAAACTCTCCAAGAAGAACCGAGACGAACACCACGAAAAGTCCGAAAGATAACAAAGGGCGTCCAGAGAAAAATGGAGGGATGATAACGCTGAAGTATCTTTTGGAGGCTGAGATCCATCGAAGTGATATGACTCAGACACCGACGGTGGACATCCAGATAGAGCGCGAAAGGAAGAGCAATCACCTTTCGTCACCCTCTGCATCTCCTATAACAGAGTATAGTCGTCAGGTGGATCCATGCATGCTAAGCTATAAAGAGACTATATCCCCTAGCCCACGTCTTTCTGATGAGAGGAAAGTACCAACGTCGGTTAATTATGATGCCAAGAACGCAGCAAAGTCGACTGCTCCACCAGATCCTTCTACGAGTGTGATTTCAACTACCGAACTTTTTCGTCGTAAAGTTATTCCGAATCCTCTTAAGCCGATTGATCAACAGAGTTTCCAAGGCAATAGTGATGGATCAATATTAGACCCGTCATCCAAATCTGAATGTCGTCTTGTCACACCAGATAATAGAGTACTAAAGGGTAGTCTTCTTCATATGTTGCTCACCTCCACCGAACCTTCAGACAATCATCAAATATGTAGGCCATCACTGAAGGAGCACAACATTGTTGGAACTACAAGAACTGACTCTGGCATCCAGGATCAGAAATCTGTGATGGATCAAACAAACCCGAAGCCGCCAAATTCACCTTCGTCAAGAGGAATAGTGGCATCAAAATGTCCAACAAATGAGCTAAAGGAAACCAAAGATTTTACTACAAAAGCAGGTGTTGGTGGTAGGCCTAGCCATACATCAAAAATCGTAAAAGCATCAAATACCAGGCCTACTCAGATGTCTACCTCATGGCCTGAAGTTGATACAGAGTATTCACCAACACTAGCAAGTAACGGTGTAGGAGCTTCTGCAGTTGTCTCTGATAAAGCTGACCTAACCGTTACTGCACCTATATCGGAAGTACTCAACAGCAATAATGCAGAAATAAAACCATCTCTAACTTCAATCAAATCAAAAGCACATAATGTTTCATGTACGTTACAAGCCATGAACCCACCACTACTGACCCAGTCGCAGAAAGCTGTTGAGGTACAAGGCTTCAGTGTATCAGGCCGCAAAGTGCTTAATGATTCAGCAGGGATTCCACCTTGTAGAGATCATGCGAGTAAATGTTCAGGCAATCTCAGCGAAGAAGTGGTGAGGAAAGATGACAACGTGATTGCCTTTGACAACTCCAAGGATACATCGAATACATCACAGGTCATGAATGATGGTACACCAAGACACGAACGAAAGGCTGAATGTCCTCGAAAGACCACGCTGATCATCAATCCAGTGAAGACGAGTTCGGCGTCAGTCGGTTCATGTTCTGCAGAGCCCTCGGGGCAGTTGTACGGCCTTCTTCGCTCTCCGAACAACGCAACAGGAAATGTAATGCTTGTACCGCTGGGAAGTGGGCCTCAAAGCAGGAAGGATAGCACAACCTTGACGGGTTCAGGAAACAAAATCGGTGCATTGAAACCTCAGCCTTCTGCTCCAGTGATGATCAACAACATGGCGTTGACTGGCAACATAAATACAGATGCCTTCAACATTTGGAAAAGGTAAGGAGGAACATTTGAATATTAATTTATTTACAACCCTAACATATTCCTAGAACCATTCTTCTAAGGCCTCGTGACGTGATATGAATAGCCGAAATTTGTTCATGGTTGAGCTTTCGTCGGCTTCCTTTAATAGGTATTGCTTGTTTTTATAAAGATTGAGAATACCATTAACAAGATTATATGGAAAAAGTAACGTCTGCCATGATTTATTCACACATTTTACACGTTTTAAACTTCTCTGGGTATCTGAAATATATAAAAAAGGAACAATTTTATTACTCTACTAAACTTTTCTTTTTACGTTGCCTTTCCTTTCAGCTATGTACACCAAGCCTATCATGACAAGTATGGTACGAACTGCGAGTACTACATGCACAACCGTTGGGTCAGCATGAGCGTTGCCGAGAAGAATCCCTTTGTTCATCAAGTCCAGAATAGTTTCCGTCCCCCGGTCGTGGTACAGACGTCTTTTAGCAACCCCAAGAAGACTAGCCAAGAAGTCATTGACATCAAAGCACCCACATCAAAGAATTCCAAAGCGGAGATTCAGAGACAAATCGACATCATCCCGAGACTGCAGACGACAGGTCCAGATCGGCCTGTCGCCGACAACCCTGTACCATTGAGTGAACAGGACATAATGAGGGAACTCTACAGAAGTACCAAGATGGCTAATATATCTCCCGACTTCCCAATGGCTAGCAACAACAGCACATTCAGGAAAATGATGAAAAGCTCCAGTGATTTCTTGACTGATCCAGCATCAAGTTTTGATTCAGTGTTTGCTCACTGTATCCTATCAGGGAGACGACATGACATCGACAACTGGATGGCGATGAAAACCAATTGGCAAGTGACCCCTGAATGGATAGTAGACTTCCGTGCAGCTTGTGATGAGCGAAAGAGGGCTAGAAGAGCCGCCATTGATGCAGGGGTGATGCGTCGTGTTGCCATGGTACAGCGTATGGCAGGAATGACAGATGATGATGATGATGAGGCAGGATCAAGTTCTTCCACAATTCAGACACCACGAAAACAATCTGGGAAGAAGTGCCAGGAGTTTGGGGATAGCAAAGAAAACACACCGGTGTGCCAAGAGAAAAGTTGCCAAAGTGTTCCGATAGGAGGGTTAAGTCCAAAAGTAGGTACTTCGTATGACAAGAAAGGTGACAGATGCTTAACTCCTGCAAAAGTGCCAACCGCAACACGGACATTGACAAAAGGCTTACAAGACCAGCTTACTCCCGAGTGTGGTAAGACATCGCCATACAATGAACACCAGTCTTCTTCGTGTGAATTTAAGATAGAAAGCCAGCCGCAGGTCATAGCTGCGATGAGATCAAAGGAATCGCACCCAACAGTATGTCCTAATATAACTCTCCATACAAGCATGAAGAGAGAAGATGAAGGTTTGTCGGATGCACTGCCAATTAAGAATGCCGAGAACTATTCTACGGTCAGTCAGGAAGAACGCTGCCATTCTCAAGATGAAAATCTTATCGGGGACCTGGATCTAATCGACGACGAACATCTTTGGAACATTCAGTGTAGCCTGTTCCCACCATGGCAGCGCGTTCCGTCGTTTATCGACGCCGATGCAGCAGATGATTTCTTTAAGGATCTCGAAAGAGATTCACTGGGCGTACCTGTCGCACCTCCACCTCCTTCGATCTCCCATAATGTACAGATAGAAAACGTGGCTAAAGTAGAGAGAGCAAAGAACAAAACTTTTCTCCCAGACAATCCTGACGTAGATTTGAACGTCTTAGGGCATGTGAATCAAACAGTAAAGGACAGCCATTGTCGGGAAGCACTGTCGATTACGTTGGCTGAGGAGAACATCCCCAGTACTTCTTCAGCCATCCCTCATACTCCGAAGGGGTGTAAGAAAGCTATGGACTCGCCACTTGTCAATAGGCTCTTATTCTCAGATATCCCGATCAAGAATGAATGCCAGCCAGGAGACTGTGAGCCAACGGAACACACGGCACCACTTCGAGCCCATATTTCAAAGACCGCTGAAACCCATGAGGTATTGAATATTCAAGAATGGTTGGATGACTGTATTGAAAGTACAAGCGAACATGTAAGTGTCGAGGTAATGCAGACTACAGCTTCCATGAGCAGAGAGGAGGAAGAAGATGTAGCCGTATCCAAATTGCTCGAAATTCTTGCGGAAACACAGCGAACGACACTACCTAAAAATGTTAAAACGGTTTCCTACCTGAATATCACACCAGAATATGGCCGAACTACAGAAGAGAAGGTTGTCAGTGGTGACTGTTCTAGGATATCAAATACTGCCTATGATGTGCAGGGATCCACTGGGGAAAGGTCCTCACAGATGGTTGATGAAATCGGTAAATGGCATGAAGAAATCAAACCAATAAATGCCATAGATGTAACATCATTAACGTCGCCATTACCTTTGATAGAAAATTCCCTAAATCTCTCGCCGGTAAAAGACAATTTGAATGAAGTGATGAGGGATGATGGCAATGATTATAGCTTTGGTAAGAGTGATGGACCGTCACGTCAACAGGAGATTCAAAGAGACCCTGTCCAGGGTGTCATTCACAGCAAGCCTTTCGATGCTGGCAGCCCTGAACACAGTGTAAGTGTCAGTCAGATTTGCAGAACGAAGGCGGAGGCGGAAAACAACTCTGGTAAAATCGAGAGGTGGCACGAAGAGATTAAACCCATAATCGCGCTTGCCGTCAACTCCTCGTCATCCTCAGCTTCTGTCGAAAACGAAATTAGACAGTCCCATCCCACAAAGAATCCGAGAACCACCCCTGTCGATGAACTACAGGAAGAAGACACCAAATCTGATGACTTAACAGAGGACCAGAAAGATGACGGTAAGGCAGACACCAAAGAGCAAGCTAAGACAACATCAAGCTCATCGGGAGAGTATGTGACTGCAGATGAGACTGACCCACATGCAAGAAGGTTCGACGACAGAACGCCAGATCTTAGTCCTACAATCAAAACGGAACCATGTGAAGAAGCTTCACAAACTTCAATGACAGACGAGTCGAGTAGCTCACTAGTGTCCGCAGATGGTTCAACAACGTTCAGAGAGTATGCAGAGGGTGACGTTTCAGATAGAGGTATAGACAAGGCTGTCTCCAGTGAAGAGAAAAAGTCGCAAGTTCCTTCGCGAAAATATCATGGAAGAATCAGGAAGAAAAGAAGGCAAGACGTGGTGCCAGATGATCCAAAAGAAAACGCCTCTGAAGCGAGGCCCGCCGTCGCACAATCGTCAAGCGACACATCATTGACTTCCGTTTCGTCATCATCTACATCCTCCTCACGAATTACAACAAGCCGAAAGAGCAGAGGGAGGAAACGAAGACGAAGGGTTCAAAGACATCGCCACAAGTGCGACCGAAAGGCTCCAAGAGATGGACGCTCTCCACAAGCATCACGTGAGTCAGTGGTAGCGAAGGAGAAAACACACCTTAATCGGGATGCACTCAGGAATGACAGCGAAGGCGATGCCCCAAATAAATCGAGTTTTAAGAGAGCATCAAGACAAAGCCTGGAGACCAATATCACCAAGTTGTTGCAGGACCAAACAGATGGACCACCAAGCCCACAAGATGCTGGACATACTGATCACGCGGACGAAGACCAATCAGACGATGATAGTCAAAGCGATCAGTCCCCGACGTCGCTGAAAATCGTGAAGCGAAGGAGCTCGAGATTGAAAGTAAGAAGGGTTTCCAAACTGCCAAGGCTTAGATCAAAACGGAATGCGCCGGGGACTTTTCAAAGGAACGCATCTAGGACTTTGGTTTATGCCAAGATTAAGAAGACACAGAAGAGGAAAAGAAGAGTGAAATGAACAATTCAAGATGATTCTTTTAAATCACCTCTATTTGTAACTTTCTTCGTCATCAGGGTGGAAGGGACGATCGTTTCGCTTTTAGTGGCGTATATAGGGGTCATAATACCCCCGCCTCCCTCTTCCCGCCCATCCCAATCAAAATCGAAGGAGGGTGGGGGAGGAAGTGAATGAGAAGGAGAGGTGAAAGCCAATGTCAAAGCCCCACCCTAACCAGCACCAGCACCACCGCCCAAGGGTCTCGTTCTCTCTTGCCTTTCATCTACATAGCTAGAAAGGTGCCCCCCCCCCCCCCAACCGCTTTAGCTGTAGCTACACCACTGGGCTTTAAACTGCGATCTTTAACTTATGTCACGATAGTTGCTTGTAAAATCAAATTGCTTGTGTTTAAAGACTATTTTGATTATGTTGTATCATTTCCTTTGTTTATGTTTTGTTTTACTACATGTATCACCTTCATTGCGCGGTTAAACGATCTGTATTACGCACCGCATTTATTCAGAATTCGAATCGTCTTATTTTGATATGCTTAAATAAAAATCATTTCCGGCAAAAACATTGATGTTAGTATCTTTCTTTTTCTTATTTCTTTCCCTTTTGTAAAAATTTAATTACATTATCGAAATGTTATCGGCCATAACCATTTATAATCAATTGTCTGACAACATTTGTCAACGTTTTTACAGTATACAATTATAAATTGTTTTGAATTATGCACCAGAACATGTACGTTTTTTTTATTTCTGTGAACTGAATACAAAATAAAACGAATTAGTGGTATAAATGTGACTTAAAGAGTTTGTTTACACGAGATTGTAAAACATATCTACATAATCTTAAGTCAGGAAAACACGAGTATAAAATTTGCAAGTATGGCATTCTAAACAAATTCAAGTCTTGAAAATTGAATTGATTAAAGAAGAAAAGAAAATGAAAACAGAATTGAAATTATTAATATCTACCTCTAACTCTTTCCGTCTCTCTCTCATTTCCATTTCGCTTTCTCTATTTTGTACCTTTTCCGTCCAATTCTCTCACTTTCTCGTCCTGTTTCAGTCCACTCATTGTTCTCGCCTCCTTGCTCTCTTTAAGTATCTTTGTTGCTCAATAGTGATTGTACAGAAACAGAGGATGGTGTTTTTTCCGAAAAATGTAACCCTCTGTCTTTTCTACTGAATCTTATACACGCCAAGAACAACACTCTAATACGTCTGCCAATATATTGTATATTTGTTTTTATTATTGCTTTGTTTTTATTTTGCTTTTCCCTGTTATCATTAATCATATGCCTAAAATACCTCGTTACAGTCATAGTTAGCCATTTCAAAGCACCAGTACTGTGTCCGTCATATACCATTATTCAACGTAAAATATTCACAACCATACGAACAGAAATGAGAAGCGCAAAATGATGGAAAATAATGGAAAGTCATTGAGAGGATAATGAGAAATAAATATATACATAATTAAAAGAGATAATAAAATCGATGAATTATAGCAAGCGGGTATTAAATATTTGTCTTATTGCTTTGAATGGTGAAAATGGATGATTAAAAGAGTATGAGCAAACAGAGATTAATATCAAACAATAGAGCATAAACATGTTTCACTGCTATTATCAATTATAACTTGGATGAGTTCATAACAGATTATCACGGAGAGCATGAAAAAATGGTGAAAATCTCAATAAAATCATTTCAAAGATAAATGATATGATTTATTTCAAATAAGGATCTTGCTTTAAAGTCTTTAGACTGTTAATGAGAAACATAAGAACTAAAACCATTAATTAGTGACATAAAAGATTATTGAAATATCAAGGGTGCATCATAACATAAATGACCTCATTGATAATAATATCGCATGTGTGTATAATGTAAAAGATGATTTCATAATCAAAGCTTTGTTGCATCAAACAAATCATATTGTATGAAGTAATGAATTAATGTGAATACATTGACTTCTCTCTATGCAGTTCTTAGCAGAGTATATACTACAGATGGTCTGGTTTTCATTACGGCAAGTAGACCATGGCAAAATGAATCAAATTTAAGAGGAATTATATGAAACATTTTCCATATTTGTTTCATGAGATTCATGAATGCATTAAAATTGGAGTAATTTATGTACTGGCATATTACCTTTTTTCTCTTCAAGATAATCTGCCTCCTTCACTGCTGAAGATTCTTGCAGATGTATAAGTGCATGTGTGTGGCAACATAGAATATTAATATAAAAATAGTTTCTATTGAGGCAGAAGGGTGCTAACTCTTTGTAGAATATATGAGTTAACACCCTATTGGCACTCAGAAGGTGACATTATTCTTTTAATAAATATTGGATACCTGGTAGATTTAATATATCTCTCCATCTGTCCATGAAACTACATACCTATTGATATTTCATTTGTTAAATAATTAATTCAGTATACTTTAAAAGTCAATAACCCTTGAACAGACCATTTTTAATTGTACTTATATTAATGAAGAGAAAAGGAAGCAAATTCACAAATTCAAACCAACTTATATACTGCTACGTAAAATGAATGCATACTTCAGACACACATAATATACATGTACATCACCACCCTTCAAAAGTATTAACAAAATCTACATTTGAAATTTTGTGAGTGGGCCTACCAAATTTCCAACAAAATATTTAAATCAAAATGACAAAAGAATGAAAAAGAAAGCATAAAAGAAATATGTACACAATTCATGAAAAGACTTGATAAGCAAATCATATACATACCACTTCCTTAAACATTAATACATGATACAACATAAAAACTTAATATTGTAATTATTTTGCAATTAAAGTTGTTTCATTTCAAATCAACAATAAATGGACAAATGCAGATAATTTGCTTTAAGTATTTGAAAATATATGCAAGTTAAATATGCCAATTATAATTCAAAGAAGAATTATTGTCATCAAGAATTCCAATAGCAAATAATATACATTGACATTCCATGACTTTTAAATTGTTATATCTTTCACATATCCCTTCCTTTTTAAAACCCCATCCTTAAATAAATTCCTTTTCAAAATACATCAATTTATCCATGATGACACTTCAATAAAATTACATACAAATCTGTTGATACAAAAATATAAATTTTTTTGATATTAATATCAATAAATCCTGTTACTTGTTTGTGCAAAGTTATGAATGACATTTGACAAATGATAGAAAAAAATTAATGGAAAGCTATCATTTTTGCTTCTAATTGTTTCTTTCAATTCATCCTAACTTTCATAAGTAAAAAAAAAACAAGAGAATACATCTGAAGTAAAATATCCAGTAAAAAATCCAAATTTTTCATTTAATCATTAATGAAATGGTCTGGAGGCGTATTTTGAAAAAATCTCATAACTTCCTTTGAACAATTAAATACATTCTAAAAATGTACATTGTGAAAATACAGTAGTTCAGTATTCCTCGAACAAAACCCAAAATTTTACAGCATATTAAAGCTACATGCATGCAAATCAGATAGCAACATTATCAGCCTTTGTTGAATTGGCCGTACATATGTATTTTTAAAACTTATTTTTCCATTTAGATTTTCCTCTACCTTAATTATTTCACAACTAAAAGCTTCTATTAGCTGTTAAGCAAAGCATGTCTGACAAGAACATATGGTGAAAGTTGATTTGCCCATACTGCCCCAGTGTTAGGGAATAACCTCACCGACTCTCTTAGAAACATTAATACAATTAACAATTACTGTAATGATCTTAAGGTTTACCATATTGTACCAATAAGAAGGAAGTAAGTGTAGTTTTTAATTTAAAAAAAACCTCCTGAACTATTTTTAGCATGAAATTTCTTTCAAACTCATTCTCACCAAGTCTCAAACAATAACAAATCCTCACCAATGCTAGCGATATGCTCTAGGCTCATGTAATAAGCATGGGTTAAATCACATTTGATTTACAATTTTGAAAGTTTATAATTAATTAGCTATAAGTTATATTTGATGTATAAAAAAAGAAGGATCTTTCTACAAATAATAAAGCATTGTGGCACTTTTGACTTTAAAGTGAAACAAAAAACAGCATAAAACTCTTTCTTGCTACAAAGATTTTGTTTTAGCCTTGGTTGTGTTCTTGCTCGATGGTCTAAATTTGGCAAACCTTCCAATTTTTTTCTCCTTCGTGATCGCGTCGTCTTCGTCATGTTCAAAGGTTCCGCTGGAATCTGTAGCTCTGTTCTCAGGGCTGTACTTCTTGCTTTTCTTTCCCCTTGAAAGGAACGAACCAAAGAACCCACCCTTCTTCTTCTTCATAGAGCTGTCCATACTGGCTTCAGATGTCGTGATGAGGTCAGGAGGGGACAAACCCAAGCCCAAGTTGGAAGAACGGGAACCCATTAGGGATGACCCGCTGCTTCCTGCTTGGGGGTCCTTCCTGCGTTTGGATTGATTGCGCTTGAAGACGGAGGCGTAGAGCCTGGCTCCACGAGAGCGCTTTCCGGTCTTTGGAGTAGCTGAATTTGAGTCTCCCCTTTCAGGGGAAGCTTCCGATAAATGCTGATCCTGTTCATTTGCATAGAGGTTGACTCGAGGTGGAGTGGGTGAGGAGGATGATACATCAATTCTTATTTCATGACTGGATGCTGACTGCTGCGCTGGTGTCTTTTCTGGATGTTTCTGCTCAGGTTGCTTAGGTAACGCTGCCGTTGACTTTTGTTCAGTAAGCTCTTGTTGGGTAGAGTGAGTTGCGGATGTGAGTTTTGGTCTCTTATCGATTTCCTGATTTTGGGGTTGGAGCTGAACATCCAAACTTGGACCCTTGTCATCCACCTGAGGAAGAGGTTCATTTGGTTTGACTTCATCAACTTTGTTCCCTGTGAGGCAATACGCTGTTGATTTTTCATGATCTAAATCACTCGGTAAAGGCACTTGGTTTGTATGATCATTTTCAACTGTTTGGTTTTGGCCGTCTTCAGGAGCAAACACATCATCCTCTTCCTCCAGGATGCTGGCTTTGTTGTCTACCTCTAGGGCCACATCCTCAGTGACATCGATGTCAAAGCTACATCGCGGCGTGTTGTTACTGTTGTTTGAGTTGAGGTCTGTATCATAACTGATATCGATGAACTCCTCCATCTCTTCGATCATCAGGTCTAACTCGTCATCGCCTTCCCTGCACTTGCTGTTCTTGCTCCAAGATTCCTTGGACGGAGAAGAGTTCACAGAGTTGACTTCTCCATCACTACCAATGTTCTCACCCATCCTCTGCTCTTCTAATATCTCCTCAGTTTGGAGAGAGGAGGTCGAGGCCTTCTTACCTCGCAAGGAATTTCTAATGTCCGAGACCCATGACCCAATGGGGCCTTTCTTTTCTGCAGGAGAGGTTTTCATGTCCCGATGTGCAACAGGAACCTTGATTCTCTGCACAGGTGGTGACACGGAACCACCACTCTCTTCTAAGTGATGCCCATTCAGGGCTTCACCCTCGTGAGTGTCATTCACTTTTACACAATGCGCATCACTGCCATTCCCAAAGACCACAGGGCCATTATTTCCACTTCCAACACTTGACTCATCAATAAAGGATCTCCTCTTCATCTGTCTGATATCCTCATCAACTTGCAAACACAGTGCATCGATCTCTCCCAACACATCATCTGATTTCGCATCAGTCGTCCCATCCCCTGCTTCATCCTCCCGCCGTGATACAGCAGGAGTCGATGCGCAGCTTTCGTCCATCGATAACGACGTGACATCGCTTGCGGTTGATGCCATCCCGTCACTTACATCTTTCCCGCTGCTCATGGATGCCATCACCGAACCTGCACTCATACTAACAGGTCTGGTATTCTGTTTCTCATCAATCACCATGGCTTCTACCAGAGGGGGTCGATCCACGTCCCCTGCCCCTCCTTCGCTCATGTAACTGCCGGTAACACCATGCATATCAGGGGAGCATACACCGGATGAATCTTCTTTCGCTTTACTTCCGCTACTTCTTGTACCATTTGAAAGTGTCTCAGCCTTCTTTATCGTTTTGTCGTTACCCTGTATCTTAGTATCTTCTCCTGCCTCTACTCCCACATTACCATCGGTCTTATTCTCCGCTATGGTCTTTCCGGCTTTAACGGCCCCTTCACCAGCATCCAACCTACTCTTTTGACCTTCAGATGAATTACCCCTATCCACAACATCTTGCCCCCCTTTACCCTTGTCGCCTCCTTCCTCTCTGATGGATGCTACACTAGGCATCCTAATGCTGTCACTTATACTGGTGTCATCCTCTAGTTTGCTCCGACTGCTTCTCCTAGAGAGAGCTGATATACTGGAAGAGGTCGACCTTAGGCGTATAGATCTCCTCTTTGCCTTAATGGGGCTCTGGCCAGGGCTGGGTTCATCTGCAGACATCTTGTTTTTCTTCAGAACAAAGCCCTGAAGAAAAATAACCAAGAGGATAGAAATATTATTTTAACTTTTTCTCTAGTAACTCTCACATTTTTTAGTGAAAATTTCTATTGCTCAATCATTTTAGCTTTCCAGAGAGAATATTATTTTTGCCTCTCTTTAAAGCCTATTTGTACTAGTTTGGCTAGGAGGGATTAGACCACCCAGGAAGGTCGCTGACAGGTGGCTATCTCATCAACTCAGCTCTCAATTAACATAAGAAAAAGAGGATCATGGGGGACTAATGGTCACCAATTAGGCATTGTTTTCTATATAGAGGGAGCAAGTAGCTACGAGTAGTACAGTGGGCCTTTAAATATTGTGTTCACTAATTCAGACTTGCTGATCTGGAGGCGAATTTCTGATATCTTAGTAAATGTATCAGAAAATGTTATTTATCTATAAATCAATTCCAATAAATTCTTGCAGTACATACCTCATCCAGGTCTTATTAGTTTCTTCCCGATTTGTGTGTGCCTCTCCAACTAACTTTGTACTGCACTACTTATAGCTACTTGCGCCCTCTATATAGCAAACAACGCCTAATCAGTGACCATTGGTCCCCCATGATCCCCCTTTTCTTATGTTAATTGAGAGCTGATTTGATGAGATAACCACCTGCCAGTGACCTTGCAGGGAGCTCTAATCCCTCCTGGCCAAACCAGTGCAGTGGGGCATTAAAACTTCCTTAAAAATTTCTTTAACATATTTCATATTCCTTTATTTTGACTGTTTCACCCTCTCTCAATTGAAAATTCTCTTTAATAATCTCCATTTTTGTCTAATATTGTGCACTAACTCTCACCTTTCTGATATCCTTGAGGAGATTGTCTATGAGACATCCATCCTCTTCTTCCTCCGGTGCCCTGAGGCCAACGCTAGCTACCCCTCCTGCAGCCACCCTCGCCGCCTTCTTCTTCTCCATCTCCTCTCGTTGCTTCTTCCGCTGCTCGGCTTTCTTCTCAGATATCTTTCGCTTTTCATTGTCCTGCATAAAAACAAAACTGGGTGTTAAATTTGCTCAATCCTACGTAGAGTACATAAGACCTGGGGGCTGTTTCACACAGATCCTAATTCGAACTTAACTCTAAGTTGGACTTAAAAATTATGGAGAGCCATTTGTAGCCTTGAAATAAAATATTTTCAAAAGCGAAAAATCAATTATTTTAGACTTTTTATAAATTCCACATCAAGAACATGAAATCTCCTTGATAATAGAAAATATGAATGATTTGAATCCACATTTTATGCCTTTTAAAATAACTTTTACAAAATATTTTCAAATATGCTAATGGCTTTCCGTCCAACTCAGAGAAAAGTTTAACTTTAGGATCTTTGTGAAACACCCCCCTGGTAATAAGTCTAAAGATAATTAGCGTATCCAAAGCTAGGGTAATACAAGAGTGCGATTATATGGTTGGTGGACATGACTGATAAAAAGCAGCAAACAATGTTACAAGTGTATTCTAATACATGAATATGTGTTATATTTTCAAACATGATAATTGTGATGTGTATATGAAAATTCAACCTTAAAAAAAACATGTAACACTAACAAACAAAATCCATTAGCTCTGCAATGAAGACAAATTTATTTCCATTCATGACATATTAAACATCCCATTAATTTGGACCTAAGTACATGTATTACCGGGTAACTGTAATTATCCCAAGTTGAATGCCTTTATGACCCTGCCCTTTTCTGTAACATCTAAACCAATATACATGTACTTACATCCTGGCACTGCTTGATGCGCTTGATAAAGGTGTCAAAGATCTGGAGGAATTCTTGAAGTTTGAAGGTGGCCCCATCTTCGCAGAAGTAAGCAGCTAGCTCTTTTGAGAGAGTCTCAATCTTGGCCAGACCTGCTTCAAGTTCTCCTACTTCTTTTTTAGCAGCCTGAATAGTAATCAACCACATTTCAATTGTGAATGAAAAGATGCAAAATATACAAGGAAAGGGTAGTTTCGGGAGATTTACAGAAATTCAAGAATAACCTTGGCAAATGCTGTTGTAACATTTCTCAGTGGCTACAAGCTTTCACAGAAATAAATAGCTAGCTCTTTTGAGAGAGTTTCAATCTTGACCAGACCTGCCTCAAGTTCTCCTACTTCTTCCCGAGCAGCCCAGAAGGAATCAACAAAATCAAATTTTTAAATGAAAGAATGCAAAATATAAAAGGAAAGGGACAAAAAGTTTCAGGAGATTTAAAGAAGTTCAAGAATACATTCACAGATTTTGAATAGCAGCTCCGACAAGGCATGCTTTTCTGACAATTTCTCTGTGGCTACTTTCAAACATGAACCCATTCCTTACTGCAACTATGGACCTATCCTAACATTGATCTTAAACCTGCCATAAACCCAATCATAACTCCGGCCCTCGTCCTGTATCATGCCCAAGTATATCCAGGAGCACATGTTGGGTAATCTAATGGGGCTATACAGTCAGACCGCAGCGTGCGCGATAATGAGGCTATACGCTGATTTTTATTCAGCGTCTCTTTGGTTATCTCGTACATTCACGTGTGCTGAAATTCACGAGATTTTCCGTGAGATTTGTAAGGGTGTACATGCAGCTGCTTTTGTGGTCGATAACTTCTGTCAACATGGCAGCACGCAACGGTAATTACTCTCGAGATTCTCAGCTTCAGTTTGATATGAAACTTGCCATATTTCACAATTTTGAAACGATCCTTTTTCACCACTTTTATTGTCGTTATTTTTGTAACATTTCAACAGCTATTTTGTACCCGAAATTTCGCTTTTGGTTCCTGACTTTGGTACATAATTAATTTGTTTACTTTGAGATTCGTTGGAAAGATGAAAAGTCACTGATCAAAATAATGTCAAAACCTAATTGACGCAAAATCTTGTTCTCTTTATAATCATAGTAATTAAGACCCTAAAAACCCGGAAATTACCAATTTGTTCTTTCTATATGATGGCACGAAATTGTGTGATTTCATACTCGTGCACGCTCGCCGTTTGAGCAATGGCAATGCATAACTGATTATTAAACTCCAGGGAGCTCCGCCGCGCCACCGACTGGCCGAAAAAAATTAAGAAAAATGATTAAAAAAGAAATAATGTAGAAAAATATTTTTAGAAAGGCAGGTGACGTAATTGATCCAGGGTCCTCAGATTGTTGTCATGACTGCTTGCGCGCACGTGCATTACAGGCGCACGCCACAAGGAATGCTTACTCAAAATTGGTATTTAGAATGTTAATAAACCAAAGCGGAACATATGTGACGTAGTTGACGTATTTGGCCAATCAGAACGCTCTATTATCACATCGGCAAAGTTGACTACTTTTTTTAATTATTCATGAACATTCGCGTGATTTTTCTTGGTTCCTGACTTTGGTACAGCGTAAAATATAATAATTTTGATATCATTGTAAAGAAAAATATTTATGCTTTATGCTGATTATAACATCTTCTTGACGCAAGAATGATTTCTATGTGAAAATCAGCCCTACTCTTTAGATAGATTTATCGTCGAAAAACCCCATTTTCAAGGCGAAATATCTGTTTCCAAAATATATTAAACATGATCGTCATATAAGTATATAGAGAGTGCAACTTCTTATCTTTGAAATAAGACCCATTTCATGAGAAATGAACAATTATAAAGGCAAAAACTGCCGATCGGGAAGACCGTCTGCACTACTCATTACGTATGCAAGACACGTAAATTCTTGCATACGTGCTGAATAAAATAGAGGGTTTTCGCACCGGCTGCGGTCTGACTGTATATATGCCCGATTATATAAAGTGTCGAACTGTTATAATACAATAAACATGAATTTGAATTTTGAGATAAAAGTCATTTCACATCAAGATTTGCATATAGACAATAACCAGCATTAAAGAAATGCCATCAAGTAGTATGTTCTCACTGTCAATCATGATCAGTGAAGACAAATGTATGCTACTCATTGCAAACATGCAACTTAAAAAACCCATATGGTTCGTAGAGAACAACTGTCTACCTTTAGAAATTGCATGAGCTGTTCCTTGATGTCATCCGATGCTGAGTCTACTTGTTTTTGGACCTTGGAAAGGCTCTTCCGAAGTTGATTCACTTCCGATATCAAGTGGTCCACTGATAATCTAGATATGCGAAAGGATAAAATGGGTTAGTGCAAATTGTAAAACTTTTCAAGAGGAACATCCAACAGACAAAATAGCATACTGGATACAGCTCTTATAGTGACTTACTGCCTTTAAACCCTCAAGCCTGAGATGACACAGGATTGAACACATTGGAAAACTATTCTACAGGAAGCTGAAAGTAAAAACACCACAAACAGATAAGAGTAATTGAGAACTAAAACATTAGGGATAACTTATCTGAATACTTCCTACCTAAGTTCATGTCAATAGATGAACCTGTCCAGTCATTCCCACTAACTGATATGTTTGGACTTTCATGTGTACCATATCTTTTTAGGGAGGCGTGATAGCTCAGACGGTAGAGCAGTGGTCTCGTAATCCGGTGACCCAGGTTCGAAACCAAGTCGATCCTCATTACCAGGTCCCTCGGAGAGGACCTAAAGCCGTCAGCCTTCTGGTTGCTTACTTACAAGCATTTATGCTTTCTTAGCAGTCACGTAAAATAACCACCATAATTTTCAAATATATATCTATATAAATAAACAAATTACAAATGTCTTTTACGAGTCAGAAGGGCAATGACTCTAAATAAATTATATAATGATTGGCTATCTGTCTCTAAGCAGATGTAATAATATGTGAGTCAGTGACATTTAGTGGCCAGCAACCATTCTCAGATGGAATAAAATGAGTCAAGTAAAAAATAAGAAGCAAAGAGCACTGTTACTGCGCAATCCTCTGCAAGGAACAGGAGATACAGAGTTCAAGTAAGTAAGATTCTGTGAACTTGCCTGCATGCCTGAGGCAGGTTCTTCATCTCGTCTGGGAAGGTGAGGAGTTCAGGGTCCTTTTCCGCAACCATCTCCACCAGGTAATGCATTAGAGTCATCCTTGGCTTGTTGGCTCTAGTGTCCTGCAGCTTCAGTAAGGAAGATATCTTGAAGGCGATAGCATTTCCCGCGTACCCACCCTGTAGGAAACATATCAAGAGGACAAGAGATTTAAAGAACTGTCTGATGGAAGAGCAAAAGGGTAATCATGGGTTTGATGGCTCCTGTGTTCTGGAGCTTCAGTAAGGAGGGTATCTTGAAGGCCACGGTGTTTCCTGCATACCCACCCTGCAGGAGACATATCAAGAGGACAAGAGATTTAAAGAACTGTCTGATGCAAGCGCAAAAGGGTAATCATGGGTTTGATGGCTCCTGTGTTCTGGAGCTTCAGTAAGGAGGGTATCTTGAAGGCCACGGTGTTTCCTGCATACCCACCCTGCAGGAGACATATCAAGAGGACAAGAGATTTAAAGAACTGTCTGATGGAAGAGCAAAAGGGTAATCATGGGTTTGATGGCTCCTGTGTTCTGGAGCTTCAGTAAGGAGGGTATTTTGAAGGACATGGTGTTCCTGCATATGCCATACCCACACTGTAGGAAACATATCAAGAGGACAAGAGCTTTAAAGAACTGCCTGATGCAAGAGCAAAAGGGTAATCATGGGTTTGATGGCTCCTGTGTTCTGGAGCTTCAGTAAGGAGGGTATTTTGAAGGACATGGTGTTCCTGCATATGCCATACCCACACTGTAGGAAACATATCAAGAGGACAAGAGCTTTAAAGAACTGCCTGATGCAAGAGCAAAAGGGTAATTGTGGGTTTGTTGGCTCTGTTGTTCTGCAGCTTCAGTAAGGAAGATATCATAAGGGCCATTGTGTTTCCTGCATACTGGTCCTGGAAGAAAGATATCAAGAGATTTAAAAGGCATTTCCAATGGATGTTTGATAGTCCTGGTGTCTTGAAAAGAGTTCATTTTGATATCACATAACCTAAAATGCAATTTATATATTTGCTGTTGTTGTTGCTGTTCCAATCCAACTCTCTCTCTCTCTACTTGACATCATATAACAAAAATGCATATCAATGTGACTGTGAAATGGTATGACTAACCACAATGGCAAAGTTAAAAATATATACTCACAGCATTTATGTAATTTCCTGTGACCAAGATGAGGGCCAAAAATTCTTCCAGCATCTTGCTTTCCAGAATATCTAAAAAGAGGGAAAATATTCATCAAATATCAAATTTTCTCATTATGTGTATGTATTTTATTTTTTGGGGAAAAAACTAGATACATTAGTAATACAAATATTGTAAAATATTACATTTATCATGTAAGTGGAACATATGACTTACAGGTGTAACTCGGATTAGTATAATGGCTTCTAATTCAAATATATTTTCATAAATAGTAAAGAATATTCACAAAGCTTTTACAAAGTTGTTTATAACATTCCATGAATATATTCATTATCAATACAATGGTGTCTGGTTTCATACAAACTTTTTTACAAAAAAGATATTCCAACATATTACTTACAGGTGTAACTCCGATTAGTATTTTTACTGGCTTCTAATTCAAATATATTTTCATAAATAGTAAAGAAAATTTGCAAAGCTTTCACAAAGTTACAGATAACATTTCATGAATATATCCGAAATGGATACTATGGTGACTAAGCTTGTTTCATACCTTGTGAAGCTTGAGCAGTGATATTGATGGCAGGTGACAAGTAAGCAATGGCTGCTGCATGTTCTTCCTTCATCATCATACCCTCAATACGCAGTTCATAACTGAAAGAAACAGATATTTGTTGTTTAAAGATACTATGTCCCTATTGCAGCCAACATCAAATTCTGTAGAATTTTGCAGGAATTATGAATATATCACGTATGTCCCATCTATGAAATTTAAACGTTAGCAGTGTCCTAATATTCAAATTATGCAAGGAAACTCTTTTACTTGCTAGACTTCACTGTCAGACACTATTGAGTGACTAACTGGCTTTTTTTTCTTCTTTGGTAATAACATATACATAAAATGAGCTGTAAAGGGTACATGAGCATTTGTCTACATCAATAACCCACTTCTTGTAATGGCCAAAATTAAACTGATTGAATCTTTGCGCAGCATAAAACGTACAACCACTCGGTACAATGGTCTGAAAATCAGACTATTACTTACTGGCTCTATAGCTCTTAAGTCGATTTGACAACTTATAGTCGTTATTTTCCCACTTAAAGACATTTTCAAGTTCTAAATTAGTATTATCTTTCAAATACCATTGGAATTTAACCTTTTCATTTTTTGGGCCTGCAAATGGGACGTAGTACCTTTAAAGCCTATGTGCACTAGTTTGGCCAGGGGGGATTAGACCTCCCTGCAAGGTCACTGACAGGTGGTTATCTCATCAAATCAGCTCTCAATTAATATAAGAAAAAGGGGATCATGGGGGATTAACAGGCACATATTAGTCATTGTTGCCATATAGAGGGCGCAAGTAGCTATAAGTAGTACAGTGGGGCTTTAATAAGTTGCTGAAGAGAAAGGTAGAAAGGTAGTAGAGCGTAGAGATGTATTCATAACGGAAAATTCACCGTTGTTGAAAATCATAGAGATATCTCTAGTCAAACTGTTGAATCAATAAAAGCACCAGCAATTATGGCTTTGCTTTCTGGAAGCATTACGTGTCACACATTTTTCCTAGCTACATCATGAAGAAGAAATAAAGAGTAAAGAGCGATTGCCAGATTTCAGCACATCAGAAGACAATTTAACTGAAGTGCTTCATGAATGCTACCTAATTATATAAATCTATATAATAAAACTGATTTTAAAAATAAACAGGAATTGAAGAAGAATCACTTATATCATCACATTATGTGAAATCTTCATGGTAATTCAATAATTACACAATCCAATTCACAAAACAAAAATAGTATAACCTGCGGAAAATTAATATATAGATTTGATTATGCGCAGCTCAGGAAATGGCACATTGATATCAATTTTTTGTGTGCACTCACTTTGGTAACTGTGACAACTGAAGGTAAAACTTCTCTGCAGCTCCTAGCTTTGTTTGGTCACCCTTGAATGCTTTGAGCATTTCCAGCTGCATATAGAAACAGCAATTACAAACATGAATTAAAATCACTAACAGTAAGAGACAAAGCTAATTAAACAATACTAACTCAAACAAATGTAGTTTAGTACAGTCTTTCATAAATGTTCGAAAACAGTCAAATATGTCTGTGATGTTTCTGAATCTCATTTGAGTAGGTACTCACATACTAGGCCGTAAACTAAGAAAGGAAAAATATGATACTCTTTTGGCCAAAACATCAGTAAATCAAAATACCTTGGAGAAATTCAATTTCAATTCAATTCAATTCAAATTAGGTTTTTATTCCAATTTCGTCAAAAAGTCCAAAGACTAAAAATGTGAGTTAACACCAAACATACAATTATATAAAAAAAGCATTCAGAAGCATAAAGAAAAACATAGCAAATGGGAAAAATATATCAAAATATATAAATGTTTACATCAAACATCAAAGCAGTAACAAAACAAAAAATGGATATATAGCTAATGTCCATCTATGTTGGTTTCCTTGGAGATTAATAGCAAATAATATGTCCCATAAAATAAAACTGAATTTACTTGTCTTCAACCTTTACTTCTGTTATGTTGACAATTCATACCTCATCTTTTTCTGGTAGGAGTTTCATCAACCCTCTAAGTCATCTATGTTGGTTTCCTTGGAGATTAAACATAAATAATATGTCCCACAAACTAAAATCATTACTTTTGCTGTGTTGGACATTCTTACCTCATCTTTCTCTGGTAGTAGTTTCATCAACCCTCTAAGTCTCTCCACTCCTCCAAACCCCTCCACGTTACCCTCCTTGATCAACGTCATGATGGCATCATTGGGCATTCGGAACTGCTTCAAGAAGATGTTCACGTTCAGGCTCCTCTTACCATCTAACAGATTTATCTAAAGCAACATGAAATTAAATTATTTATTCATTTGATAAAATGTTTTATGTACATGTAAAATAAAGGGTAGGTACACTCAACAGTACAGCTTTCAAAGTATCCCCTGCAGAAGAACTAAATGATAACATTGTGTATAATATTAATCTTTGAAATATGTTAATCATCTATAGTGACCCCTGAAGATATCAGTGTAAAACCATAGAGTAGAGTGTTTTGATTATATACCAACAACATATCATTTTATGGGGAAATTGGGGGTTAGGATTTCTTGAGACTTTTAATATGTTGTTTAGGAGAGCTTATTGAAATGCAGTGCAATGGAATAAATTTGTTTGCAATTAGTGGTGGGTCAAACTCTATTTTTACTGGACTATTCATTTACTGCAGAAATTAGCAAAAACAATCTTCAGGTATTTTAACCTTAAGTGACTGATATCTATTCATCTTGTAAATTCATAATTTCTTTCTTACATTTATATTTACTTGTAAAGATGTCTCTTAGTACTTTGTGACTTTATCGGTCTCTCTTACTGGTTTTCTATGTCTAGGAGGGTGTTTCACAAAGATCCTAAGTTGAATTAACAATTATGGAAAGCTGTTAGCATCTTTGGAAATATTTTTGTAAAAGTTATTTTAAAAGGCATAAAATGTTGATTCAAATCAGTCATATCTTCTTCTTCCACTTTGAGTACATACCTCTTTACAGAGTATTATCGTACTATACTGGGGTGTGTGCAGGTGGACCACTACACCGGGGTTTCCCCCTACTCTTATACGAACAGTGCAGTGGGTTCTTAATGTGCAGTGATTCTTCTCTACACAGGGCCTCCATTTAACGTATTCTGTTATCATCAAGGAGATTTCATGTTCTTGATGTGGAATTAATGAAAAGTCTAAGAATTTTTGCTCTTGAATATATTTTAGTTTAAGGCCACAAATGGCTCTCCATAATTTTTAAGTCCAACTTAGATTTAAGTTCGACTTAGGATCTTTGTGAAACACTCCCCGGGTCATTTTGGAGAAGGGGATATATATATATATATATATACCTCGGCAGATTTCTTTTTCTTCTTTGCGCCATCAGCTGCATCTTTAGCCTTCTTCTCCTGCTGGCAGAAGAGTTCTTCTATATTCGCAAACTCCGGTTTGATCTTGGAAGATCCATGCTCACTTATCTGGCGCCAGATATTCCTATCTGAGAGGTGGAGAAAAAAAAGAGTTTCTTCTTAATCTGCATATGTTTGAAATCTCGATAGAAAATGAAGATATGAGACCCAACTTGAAGGTTAAGACCATAGATTCAATGACTGATGAGTTCAACAAACACAAAGTCTTCATTGTTTCAATTACTCCACTACATCTTGTGATAATCATTCTACGTTCTTAATCAAATTTTGTACCTATACTTCAAATTCAAATGCAATCCAATTATATGGCAATTTTCTTTGTTAACTCAAAATTATTGCAAAAATTTAAAATAAAAGTAGAATGAAGTGTAACTTCTTTACTCATGTTACAGCTAACAATCAAATTATTCATACCCCTTGTAAATTTGATGTTTTTTGTAACTCAAGAATGAAAGGTGAACTGGTTGATTTAGATCCTTTGTTGAATAATTTTAGATGTAAGTATTCTCAAGAACATAAATCAGGACTTTTACATATGCTTGAAAAATAACAAAACTTGGTAAGGGTATCAATAATTTAGTTGTTAACTGTATTTCTATTTTATTTGTAAATATTAGGAGTTAAACACTATAATGGTGAGGACTTACTAGGTCCAACAGTCATGTTAGGTTGAGACATGATCTTGTTCGGTGGTATCTTGGACCAGTTCACAGTTCTCATCTTCTTCTTGGGCTTGGGAGGTCCTGAGGCAACAGGTGGTCCAGGGGGGCGAGGGACGCCCATTCCTCCTATAGGAGGGGGAGGTGGTGGACCACCTCCAGGGAATGGAGGAGGAGGAGGTACACCACCACCAGGAAAGGGTGGAGGAGGGGGAGGAGGTGGACCGCCTCCAGGGAATGGAGGAGGAGGAGGTACACCACCACCTGGAAAAGGTGGAGGTGGAGGTGGAGGTGGAGCCCCGCCCATGCCTGGAGGTGGTGGCGGCGGTGGGATACATGAACCACCTGGAAGAGGAGGTGGTGGTGGAGGAGGAGGTGGCGGAGCACCAACCCCTGGTGGAAGTGGAGGTGGTGGTGGTGGTGGTGGTGGTGGTGGTGGTGGTGCAGGTGCTGCACTTAAAAGTGGGGCTCCTGTCCTTGCCACAATTACATCTCCTGTACTAGTCCTTGGATCAACAAACTCTACAGCATCAGTCTGGATCTCCTTGTCCACTTTGACAACTGTCGGAGCAGACACTGCAGGTTTCTCTGTGATCGGATCTAATCCTTTCCTCAAGAGAAGAATAATGTCCGTGAGTCCTTTGGTCAAGAGGTTTTGAATATGTTCAGGGTTGTCCAGTGCTGTGCCCTGATTGACCAACCGATCTGCAAGCTCCCAGAGATCATCAGAGGTCTGGTCATCAGGATCAAGCTGAAGTAAGGCATGGAGAATGGACAGAAGGGAAGCTGCCTGAGGACTGTTTCCAACCTGTAGCAACATGAAAGGACAAATTATAAACCTTGACTTTGACTTGATAGCAGAATTAAAATGTCCAGAAATATATTAGCCATACAAGATTTGGACAAAATCAATATAAATTCTGAACTGAATTGTGATATATAACATGGCAAGTTTGTGTCAATCTATGATAATAACTATATCAAAGATTTCAGCATATCTGATGACTGGTTATATATTGTAGCTTGGAAACCTTGGATCAGACAAATGAATTATCATAGAATTTGTTTTTCCGATGTAAATAATGTTCATTGTTCCATCACACATGGTAACATATGGGACACAAATAGCCATGACCTTTGACTACCAGCTTTGTCCATGCTGCCAATACATAAATTGTATCATACGATTCTGACAACTTTTTCTAACATTTCAATCTGAAATGAATGGCTATATCAAGCATGATATGAGCATATGAACTGCATGAACTCCTAAAGAACTCAACATATTATTTATAGAAATGCCAAAAATTATGAAATATTTTATACCTTCTTGAATATAGCATGGAAGCATTCCACAGGGCTGTTGAGATCAACTCCATCATCAGGGTAATAGCTCATCAACTCCTCATCATCAACCAGTTTCTGTTCATCGAAGACATCTAGCTGGATAGAAAGCTCACTGTCTTCAGAGTCATTTTTTCTGCGGTGGAAAGAATGATGAAAGACGATATCTGATACATATTCTACAAAACTTTTCCCATTGCTATATCACTGCTTTTATTGACGTTTGATGCACTCTGTATCGTGTTCTCAACAAAATAAGAAAACACAATTATAAACTAGTTTCTGTTCATCAACAAAATCTAGCACACTGTCTTCAGAATTACTTTTCCTGTAGTTAAGTAGTTCCAGGTAATATGCAGTTGGATTTCCATTAGATACTAATCCCACACAATGGTCTTTTTTGTGGTTAAGAAATGATTAATTTAGATCACTGGTACAGTCACATTCTGCACAACTTTTATGATCGCTATCTGTCGCCTGACTGATTTTAAATGTAATCTGCACCATTTTTAGATTATTGTATCCACCTCATATCTAATACAAGCGGAAACTTTAAATCAAATCAGAATTTTTTAAACAACAAGCTCCTTTTAGATAGCTGTATGTAATAATGTATTGGAATTAAATTAAAATGGTCTCATGTCCTTTTCCAAATTTCAAGATGTTCTCATCTTTTATTTAACATTTAAAGTATTGGCTTACAGTAATTAAGACATGCAAACATGCTCATTGGGTTTCAAAGCAAATACAGAATCATGCTAATTCATACTCAAATTTAATTCAATCTTCGTTTTGCAACAGCTCCTTCTACTATTAGTACATTTGCCTTGGCATTTGTGAGGTATGAATATGAAGGAGAACTTTAAGAAAATGATGTAATGTTTAAAGCCCCACTGCACTACTTGTAGCTCCTTGCGCCCTCTATATAGCAAACAATGCCTAATCGGTGACCATTGGTCCCCCATGGCCCCCTTTTTCTTATGTTAATTGAGAGCTGATTTGATGAGATAACAACCTGTCAGTGACCATGCAGGGAGGTCTAATCCCTCCTGGTCAAACTAGTTCAGATTGGCTTTAAAGCAATACTGACTGATGAACTTTCTGCCCTAGACTAGTGTACAAAAAGTGTGAAACCCAATAGTACCAAATTTTTTGCTTTGTGGGGGAATGGATGTGACAATCAACCGTACAGCTAGGGAAGCAGCAAGTTTCAGGACCACATAGCTGCTACAGCTGACCTGAGATGGCACGAGAGGGGATTTTGGGGGGAGTGCATCTAGTACAGTGTGGCTTTAATGAGTCCAACTGAAAAAAGACAACAGGTTGAACAACAACACCCCCAATGGCAAGAAGCAGTCAGTCTGAAGTTAGTTTGAGGTTTGGAGGAGTGACTGAGATATAATGCAACAACAGAGCTGTCGACAGCCGTCAAGTTTGGTCAGATTTCTCTTGAAGTATGAACTCCTTAAACCGCAAGGAGTGCAGGTGGCAATGGCAGGATGCATGATTAGTTGTGCAATATGTCATCCTGGACTTTAAGAGCTGTCTTGAAGAATTAAGCTCAAAGCGCTTGATATCTCAACACAAAGTACTTCTTTGTTGATGAAAGCAAAAACTGAGCAAAGCAAGCATTTCCTTTGTTTCATGATAGGATGGTACAAATGCTGCTGTGAAAATCTTTTTTTGTTAAAAAAATGCATTGCAAAATCTTAACTATTTAAGCAGAAACATATTGGAGCAATGGCTGCAGTGATCATGCTTTAAAGTAGGCTCTAAAACAAAGTAGAATTAGGGGTTTATTTAAACAGCAAGCACAATTCAAAGCATGTTCATGATTGAAAACTTTGTAAAGTTTATCACGTGTAACTTAATGATACAACTACCAGCATTTTTTAGCTAAAAATACTCTAGTACATGTAAATGAAGTAATGACCAAACTTCATTTGTAACATTTTCCAATGGTTACATTAAAAAAAAACAATCGTCATAAAGAACAAATATATATGTGATCAAATTCGTCTAAACATGTGAAAATGTTTTATTTTCTACTTAAAAACTTCTGCTAAGCATTGATGACATCGCAGTAACCACCCATAAAATATATTAACAATGTACCATATTTATAACAGAATTAAATCTACAGAAGAGAAAAAAAAGCCCTTAAATAACTTGAAAATCATTTTGGAATACATATCATGACAAGATCACCTTTACAATATCTTAGCTTTGTGGTATGATGGAAATATTTGTCCATATTTCTGCACAAGAATATCAAAAATGTAAACTATTACATTACATAAAATTATTTTTGGTTTTAAATCACTACTTCTACTGCACTGTTTTCTTTTTATGTAACAACATTTAAACAAGACATGTTGGTTCAATATACAAGTGAGAAACATCAACAATAAGAAGATACCAACAAAGTAAAGTTTTAGGACTTACACCTCGCATTAGAAAATAATGCACAGTAGGTGATTTTCTATTAACAAATTACTGAGAACTGTTCACTGGCGAACAATATTAAAACTTCAAGAATATCGCTATTGCAAACAACTTTGTGAATTCACACTAAAACAAAAACAAAAACATTTTAGATTAGATATGGAACCACTCAATCAGCACACATAATTAAGAGGAAACCACAATATGGACTAAGTTATTGTTCTTTTCTATGATTTAGTTCACAAAAAAGAATCACAGAAAATTGATAAATCAGAATTAAAAACATATAAAGCTTACCTTACTAAAATGCTTGCTTGCCCCGTCATTGTGTAAAAATGACTAGCAAAGTATCAACCCTTTTTTTCTCTGCGGCATGACCAACAGATCCCAACTCATTCTAAAGGAGGGGGAACCCCATCATCATTAAGTTTACAAAAAAATGAGGGTTTCCCCTGACTTCTTGTCCAATATGTCAGCAAATCTTTGAATAATTTTTCTTTGTGAAACACGTTACTGTCACAAGCAGTTGCTCAATATTATAAAGGACAGCCATGCTAGTGCTGGAAGAAGGCCAGTATGGACTCATAATTAATTCTCTGAATCATTGTTTTTTAACTGGAAAATGGAGTTATAAACAAGACTCCCTCTTTATCTTACTGGGGAATTCACTATTTAAAGGTTGATAATTCAATAATAAATGTCATTATTAAAAGCTATATATATATTTCACTTAACTTTGAGAATGATTTCTCGTAATCAGCAAATAAGACTACTATGATAATTGTAAACTTGGTGAGGCCCAAAATTTGATATTCACATGAATAACAAAAACAAGGTATGCCTCAGACCTTAAATTAATTGATCCTCCAACATATACTTATAAACATTTGATCCTCTGTATTTGTATTCACATGTACAATCATTTTCATTCCTTGCTTTTATTGTCCCTTGAATATGTAGATGACATTTGTTATAATCGTTTTCAATGCACATTTTTTAGATTTGCAACCAATGTTTAATTTCTTATTTTTATTTTCTTTAATCTTCTTGTACATCTTTTGCACGTTGGCCATTTGCAACAATTGTAACACTTTTATGAGTTATGTGGAAATTAATTAATTGAACCACAACCGATTCCATTGTTCAAACAATCCTTCTAATCAGGATAATAAGCCTTCTTCATTAGGGGTTAATTTACGCCCACCCAGATGGTCAACAAAATGACACTCATGCCAAAATTGCTGATGCATTCTGCGATATTTTCTCCTCCAAACTTCTTCTTTCGGTGACTTTAACTTGACAACATTTGCACGCTTCAAAATGACAAGACATGGGGGAACAACTGTTGACATGAAAGTTTTTGCATGTGTTTGTGTCCTAGTTGTTCTATTTTATTAGAGGGGGAAAATTCATGACATACTTTAAGAGTCACATCAGTGAATCATTTTTAATGTTATGCAAGGTGTCGCTGTTCAATGCCAAAACTTAACTATCCTTGCAAGTTATACATTCAAAACCAATCATTTCCATTCTTCCGATTCTTTGAAAACAAAAGAATTTGGAAAGTATTCCCTTAAAAACATGATTTGTGATTTATTCATTTTAACTTCTACATTAAAAAAAAACTATAGCTGTATTACATTAGCATAATCATACATAATTCATTTTCATTTTGTAATGATCACTTTTCCTTAAAAAAGTATGTATGATAAAAGAATATCGATGGTTACCGGTATATGTCTTGGGTTTATGTCCATACAATTTTTTAAATCCTTATCTCCCATTGTATGAATAGTAAAATGCTGTGTCAAAGAGCTGTCCATACGGAGTGGCAAATCTCAGCATGCTACGAAACATGGATTGAAATTTCACATTGTATGGACACCACGGTTTGAGTAAAATGAAATCATAAAGAGTCAGATTATGACGAGATTGAATCAGGTAATAAAATTCTGTATTGACACACTCACGGTGAAAAAATACAAGTTCAACTTGCCAATTTTTAATAAGTCTGTCAACATGACACTGCCAGGAAACCATAGGAGCCACCTGTGCAGAATTCTAATTTTAGTTTGGCTCGACACGGTCCCTGTGATTCCATTCCATAACACCCGAGGGCAGTATTTAATCATCAGGATCTGCGAGGATTGACTTGTTTGTGTTGATGGGAGCGTGGCCTAATTTGGATGCAGTTCATACATAGAGGACTGTGTACGGTAATGCTTATTTATGTTCATACTTCCGTTCTGCCTTAAATAAAGTTTCCTCCTTCCTTCCATTTCAATTTTGAGGTCACTGTCACAAAGTACCTTAAGACAATATCTGTACATTCGATGACTATGAGAGCCTATGTTGAATATTTCTTCTTTAAGAGTATCTCAAAAGTGAAATGTTGCATTCTCCGTTCAATAACGTATACATGAATTATACTTTGCAGAAAAACTGTTGTAAAATGCACTGCCCCCCCCAACCCTTTTATGTTGTTCCCCTTACTAGTCCCTTTATTAACAAAACTTTGCACAAACTTTAATAATTCCATCAAACACATAGCAATTCACAAGTTAACATTTTGTTTTACAAAGTTAGTGCATGCATCATAATCATAAATACACAATATGATAGAAGCGCAGCCTGTGCATTTTTATTTAATTTTTTATTTTGTTTGCAATAAGAATAATTTCATTTATAAAGCACCTTTTTAATAGATAAATGGCAGTGGGCTTGACAGCATTCACATGTTTGGGAAAATCATTCAAGGCTAAGGATTTACACAGGTATGGTGGATTGGATGGGATGGGGGGGGGGGGGAGGGTTGGGTTACACAGAGTGTGGATGTATACGTGTACAGACATGGGGTGGGAGTTTTGTAACTACTAAAGGCGTTATTTGACATTTTGAAATGGAAATAAGAAATATAGTTTTGCACCATGCCCTAGAAAGAGAGGCTAAGAGAAGGGGAGGGGGGGGGGGCTAATGAATTAACTAGGTAAGAGGGGCTGAATAAAAGAAACATACAGGGAGAGGTTTCCAGCTATATGTTGTAGGGACAATTTAACATTTTGAAATGAAAATAGAAACATAACTTTACACAATGGAATAAATAAGAGCTAGGACTAAAGAGTGATTTTTTTTGTTGGGGTGGAGGAGGAGGGGGATAAGCCAGAAGCACAAGGGAGGGATATAATTGTGATTACTCAAAACTATTTTGGAACAAGGTCTTAAATTTTCTCAGAAAAATAGAAGCATTGTTTGATAATGAAAAAATTGTTTGCACTGTTATAATTTTAGGCAATCAATGTGATTATATAAATTCAAAATATGTAGTTTTTAAAAATATATTAATTAATTTACTTCCTTATATTTTATATAACACAAAAAGGAAAATGTGATTTTACAAACATATTCAAAATTTATTTAAAGGAAATATCATTGAGGGCAGATGTTGAAAAGTATAACCTCTGGAAAATGTTAATTATGTTTTTAAAAAGTGTAATTCATTTTGTGATATAAATATAAGTATAATCTATGAGTTTTTCTTTGTAATCTAATATGTTTTTAATGTAAGTATTATTCAATTTATAAATGATGGAGAAAAAAGGAAAGAAAAGAAAAGCCTACATAATCAAAGGCATAATTTTACACTAACAATGTTGGTGAATTTATCCAACGTTATAAAAACTGTGTTGTATGCTGCTAAATGAAGAATCAAGAACTGCATAGACAAGGTACACATGTGCACAAAGAACACAATGAATTACTCATCATAATCTAATGAATGTTCATTATGTGTGAATGAAAAGTACTTTTTGACACTTCTGAAAAGCAAATCACTTCTTTTTGTAAGTATTTGAAAGCAAGGCTTTTTTCTTCATTAAAAATATTTTCAAACTTATTTAGTAAGAAAAAATTAGTAAAAGAGGAACAAAAAAACATCTCTCGAGATAAGCAAGCTTTTCTTTTTTTGGAGAGAGAGAGAGAGAGAGAGAGAGAGAGAGAGAGAGAGAGAGAGAAAGAGAGAGAGAGAAAGAGAGAGAGAGAGAGAGAGAGAAAGAGAGTGAGAGAGAGAGAGGGGGGTTAACGAAAACAAGACCAGCAAAATTTCATTAAAAGAGAGATGCAAGTAAAGAAATAGTTGAACAAACAAACAAACAAATGTGTGCAATGCATGACAAAAGGCAGAAAGTGCAATCAACAAGCAAATCATATTTCAACCTTTTACTTTCACCTTACCTTCCTTCATTCGATTCAAGCCTTTGTGAAAAAAATAAAATGTAAAACCAAGAAATCATAAATATATAGACAGTATGAAACAAGCTACATTTCGGTAACCTGTGATATATTTAGAAAAATGACACATATCAGTAACAAATAACTATGGGAACATACAACATTAAAATCAAATAGCACAAAAATCAAATATCAAAATAACTTGTGAACTGACATTTGCTTTGGTGACATTTACTTCAGCGACATTTGCTCCAGGCTTATTTTAAGGTGAGGTTTAGGGTTAGGATAATGGTTAGGGATAGTGTCACATTGAGTTCCATGGCTGAAGTTAACACACAATAATGACTGCATTGCCGCAGAAGCATGTGTCGTGCAGCCACATATCTCTCACTGATAACTAAAGCATTTCGACTTTCGATAATCACTCAAACAATTGCATCAAAATGATAAAAAGCTCCGTCTTCCTTTCTTCCGGGGGACTGTATCATATGATACTGCTTTGTATACAGTTGCAAATGTCACCTGGTTCTGAGGCTTACAGCATGCCCAGTCTCTCCCAACCCCCCTGGGAGAGGGCTAGGCTCATTGGGTATGTCTTCATCAGCTTGAGATTGCCAAATAGCCCGCTATTTCTGATTTGGGAAAATAAGCCTGAACTTGTGAATCGCGTCTTCATCAGCTCAAGACTCCACCTCAAAACTGGAACTGGAGCTCAAGAAATTAGCTCAAGATATGTTGCTCAACGTACGCGCTTTGTGCAAGTTTTCGGGGCTGGTGAAGACGGACCGGACAAATAGCGGGATATTTTGCAAACTAGCCCAAGATGTCTTGGCAAGATTATCTCGACCAAATATCCCACTAATTGCAACTACAGGCTGATGAAGACACAAATTAGCTGGATAATTTGTGATCGGGATAGTTAAAATGGCGGGTTATTTGGCAATCTTAAGCTGATGAGGACAGGCCTATTGAGGGACATGATAATGGGATGCTTGCCCCATATCTCAAGATCAAATATCAGAGGGAGAGAGAGAGAGGCATCCATTGAATTTATCGGACCAGTCACATTGATAGGGGGCGCCAGACTGACAATGTGAAGTCACCTGTACACAGCCTTAAAGGTTACATCATGGTTGGAATGAAATTAGAGTTTACTTTCAAATGGGTTGGCCTGAATTAGATTTTACTTTCTAATGGGTGGCCTAAATTAGAATTAACTATGCAACGGTTGGCCTGAATTAGATTTAACTATCTATTGCACGGCCATTGTAGAGACTAATGTGTTTCTGAAAAGATTATTTGAATCATAGCATGATATTTCATGCACAGGCAGATCAATAAAAATGTCAAATTCATATGGTTACTGTGGAGACTGATGGGTGCTGATGATTTATTATCTACATTAGATCTAATATAAATGAATTATTGAATTATAACATGATGTTTTTTGCACAGGCAGGCATATCAATCAAGTCATCTATTATACAGCCACTATCTGTAATAGTGATTTGCTATCTATGTGAGATATGATAGAAGTGATATTTGAATCATGGCATGATATTTCATGCATTGTCATATGAATCATATGTACTACTTCATCTTAATCGGAGAGTATGATGGGTGTTAATGACTTACTACCTATAATATATCTTATGAATTATAACACGTTTTATGCATTGGCAGTCATATAAATTAAATCATCTATTGTACAGTCGTTGCCAGGGATTTTGCAATCTGTTGAAAAAGATCTTTTGAATCAGAACATGATATGCATTCAGATTACACTGAAATTTAATGTTGAACTGCAATTGTTGAAACTAATGAGAGTTGCTGATTATATATTATATCAGATCTGTCTAAAATGATCACTTCAATTATGATGTTTTGTGATGCAGAGGTATATAAATAAAATGTAATGTTATATAGGGAATTAGGGGTTGATGGATGCTACATATTGTACAATCTGTTAACAAATTTTGATTGATTTGATTTGATTTTCTTTTCTTTTTCTTTTGAATTTTTACAAATATATAACAAACAAATATTGCAAATTTACACATGACAAAAGAATATACATGTATGTAGAATAAAGTAAGGCTGGGTGTAACTAATCGAGAACATCAAATAAGATAAGATAAAGATATAAAGATATAGCACTGTACTATCTAGATTAGATATATGCTATTCATGATAGACATTATCTTTGAATTAGGATACAATATTTCTTACACTGGCATAATATATGCTTTACAGTACAAAGCCTGCTTATAAAATGTAAAAAAACAGCTTCATGTATCTGATTTGCCATCCTTTTTCCATATTCCCCATAAATTATAATCACACAAGATTGAATATGAATATAACCAGTCTGATACTGTGATCAAAGCTTTATTTTACCATAATGTTACATTCAAGAAAGGGACTGGAAGTGAATGATATTCTTATATCTTATTATAGTTATTGGATAAATCCTAAATAGACTGATTGATATCAGTATCTTAAAATATTTGAAAACACTTTCCCTCATTTATCTAGAAGAATATCTGATAGGCCTCATTGGAACTGTATTCAATTTTAAAACACTGACCACCTTAATGTGTATTTTTGAAAAAATCTACTCATATTTTTCAAACACGATTCATTGGGAAAAGCTCATTTTTTAAAGCATGTTACTTGCCTACATGATATGAGTTAACATTAAAACAGGTGCCTATAACAAGAAAAAGAACAAAAAATAAGCGCAATCACTCTACACATTGTATTCACATGCTAGATTAGTATTTGGGGTAATGCGCTCCAATTTTTCTGAGTCTGTCGGAAGACTTACGCTCAAACACATTCTAATTCAATTTCTTCACAGCTTCCCATTTACTTATAGATTAGCAGCTTCCTTTTGCCAGCGATATTTTCCTTCTTTTTCTTTCTGTCTTTCCTTTCCTTTTTTTTTCTTTCTTTGTCTGCGTTTTTTTCAATATAAAGTTTTCTCCCCTCCCCTCCCCTCTCTCTCTTCCTCGTTCTCTTTCTGTTTCTCCCTGTAGTGTATGTCTGTAGCTGTCTCTATTTCTGCCCGCCTCCCTCTTCCTCACTCCCTCTCTCCCTGTCTGTCCGTCTCTCTCTCTCTCTCTCTCTCTCTCTCTCTTTCCTCTCCTATCTATATATCTATTTCTAAAGGTGATGTTTTTGCCTGCACACTTCCCTCACCCCTCTCTGACTCTGTCTCTGTCACTCTATCTCTCTCTTCTTTTCTTTCTCTCTCTCTCTCTCTCTCTGCCTTAGTATGAAATGTGAAAAGCTTCCAGTATCTTCCTTTTTAATTAAAATGATAAAAAAAACATTCTCTACAACTCTCTGAAAGCTCTTGCTTTAGGGAACTCATAAGACCTGTGTGAGGACAGTTCCCAACGATGACTTCCTCTCCAGTCCATCACCACATCTCCATCCATCCATCATTTCTACAACATTGCGAAACGGGGTGTCTACATGCACAAACGAGTTTCATTAAAGCAGACAAAATCGGCTTTCTGCCAATCCTTGCTAAATAGACCTGAAAAAAATGCCTGTCATCTAGCACTCCCTTCCAATATCAATCTTATTGCCTTAATGGTCCACTGCTGTAAGCTCCAGTGATCTTCGAAGTGCCAAAATTCACGATATTACATCGAAATCAGGCTCTTAGCATAGAGAATCAGTTTTTTTTTTAAGGGGGTAAGAATTGACAATGCTTGCATGACAGTTTGAACAATTTCAGTCTTATTGCTTGATAAAAACAGATATGTAATTACTGTATGGAATGACCATACCCTTTGGAGTCATCATCATTTCGCTTTGTGTTTCAAATCATCTATGAATGTCTGATATTACAATCTAGACATAACTCTACACCATATATAATATTCTGCTTCCCTACTAAAGACTGTCAAAAATACGCCACAGTACTGCCGCACCAAGACGTTAAAGATTGTAAGTCAGGAGGTCATGTCTGTTATAAGAGTCTTCGATAGTGAATGCTTTATTCCACTAGTCTTATGTTCAAACGCTCTATTGTGAGCCACACTCGACTACATCCATTTTCATATTCATGTCATCAAAGTAATCTTGATGTGCTTTATTATTGAAAGGGCAAAATCATTAATATCATGATTGTTCAATCAATTTAGCAAGATTAGACAATTTTCTTAAGAGTCTACCACTTTCCAGCACTGAACAAAGATTAAAGTGAAAACTGTCCTGTTAGATTTTACATGATTAAAATTGCTTGGCATACAATCCACAAGTGCCTATATGACACACAGATTGACAATAACAGATCACTTAGAGGTCCTTATGTTTTCATTAAACCCTAATTATGGTTTAGGGGAGGATAATAACAAAACCTAGAAAATTGATACTTCAGTGTCCTTGGCACCTTGTAATATAGAAATGAATGGCAGGAATATACTAGTTATAACTGATCATTATTGGATTAATTCATTTTTATTATTGAATAAATTTATGAATATAGCCTTATAGGGGAGATGAAAACTGTGGCTCGAGTTACAGATGGTGAAAACAATTTTTATGCAAGATAAGGTTGATATTAGGGAGTATGCATGTACTTTTCACACAAGAAACCATGTGTAGAAGAACACTAAAACTGAATAGAATGAAAGAGGCAGAAGTGTGCAACTAAAATGAAGAGATGGGTGGATAAGGAGAAGATAATGAAGATGGGTGTTTGAGGGATGAAAAAAAATGAGGAAAAGATGTTTGGCATTATCCTCACTTAAACATAAGGATGAGAAGAAGATATAGAAGGAAGAAAAAGAACTGGACAAAATTAAGTTCTAGGATTATCACAGAGAAAACTTATTGATTTGAACAAATATCTCTGAAGCTTGTATACTGCCTCTTTAAAAATGTTAATTTCTAGTTAGGTGTACAATATAATTTATACAGAAGATGTATTAGATGTTACATTCACATTATTGTCCTCACATGATCTACCATGAGGAAGCACAAACAGCATGATATGTCATGACCTCTTGGCAACAGTTACAATATTCTGTGAGAGGATTTCCTTTTCTACAATCAGACGTTAAAAGATGGGAGTTGTTGCTACCTTGTTTGGCGTTCAACAATAAGGGATAGAGCAACGTCGATCTGGCACTGCTCAGTGGCTGCCGGGCTCGCGATCAATTGGGCAAAAGGAATTTCCGTTTCGGTTTAATAAAATTTGGAGTGGACTATTGGGCTATTATTATTATTATTATTATCATTATTATTATTATCATGACAATGAATATTGAATTCTGAATGTCTTTCCCTCTTCCCTCTCTCTCTCTCTCTCTTTATCTCTCTCTGACTGTCTGTCTGTGTGTGTGTGAGTGTCTCTCTCTGTGTCCCTCTCTGCCTCTCTGTGTCCCTCTCTGCCCCTCTCTGTCCCTTCCCTCCCCCAACCTCTCCTCTATCCATACCCTCCCCCTCCCTCTCCCCACCTCTCTTTCACTTCAATCCCTCACTCCTCTTCGCTGTCTCTCTCTGTATCTCTTTCTTTTTCTCTTCCCTTCATTCTCTCTCTTCCCACCCTCTCTCTGTATATCCTAGTGGAAAACTATTGACTGTTATACAACCTTTGGCTATAATCCTTTCCTTGCCTCCCTTAAGCTGAATCGGTAAAATTGAACCCAAATCATGTTCATTGTTTCATAGAACCTATCCCTAATCCAAAACATGACTTAAGTTTCTATTTGTGGAAAATAAGGGAATTAAGTCAGCATCCTACACAACTGCATTTATGTAAATGCCATACAGGTGGATTTTCTCACCATCTTGAATACAGAAATATACTGTATTAGACTGTTAGTCAAGTAATGTGATAATTGATATAAAACTAAAATTTTCCAACAAGGTTAATGATCGCTATTTTCATGGCAAGAAAAAGCATTAAGTTTGCAAATGTTGTGATTCAAGCTATTTTTCACATGCTGTAACATTGAATGTTTGCCAATGATCTGAAGCATTCATAACATTCATGCATGCACATATTTCTGGTGTTCAGCAGTAAGTAAAATGGAACCACCATGATGGAGACAATAACATCCAATATTTCTATTGAGATAAACACAAAGTGATGCTCTAAAAATGAAGAGAAGTTGTTGGGGGTGAAGCAGAAAACTGGTACCGGTACTCTAATTCTGAAGTTCATTCCTATGGAAAATATTTTGCAGGGAATTTTACACTGAAACAGGGCATCCTACGTCACAACTGCACTCTTGATAGTTCATTTTATGACCATTGTTCAAGTATTACCGGCACAGGAACTATGGGAGCTCAAAGGGATATCAGGGGGGTGATTCACAAAGATCCTAACTTGAACTTACCATATCTCTAAGTTGGACTTAACAATTAAGGAAAGCTGTTAGCATGATGAAATTATTTTGTAAAAGTTATTTTAAAAGGCCTAAAATGTTGAATCAAATCATTTATTTTTTTCTATTATTATTGGTGATTTCAAGTTCTTGATGTGGAATTTATAAAAAATCGAGAATAATTGATTTTTTGCTTTTGAATATATTTTAGTTTAAGGCTACAAATGGCTCTCCATAATTTTCAAGTCCAACTTAGAGTTAAGTTCGACTTTGAATCTTTGTGAAACATCCCCCCGATCACATAGGTGAGCATAGAATGACCATATATACCCTCTTCTTCCTGAAAAAATAGAATGGAAAATCAAATAATATCCTAGAGAGGAGGTCATCACTGGTTATTTGAGTGATCTTAGCAGATACCCACCTGAGTTCAGTGAGGATGTCTAGCAGCTGGAGTCCGATGAACTCGTTTCTCATGTGAATCCGAGCGTCAAAGTCGGCCGTGGCTATCAGCAGGGCGTTGATGAAACCAAGAAGGGTCGACTTGTAAGGTAAGATCTCCGCCGTCTTGAGTTCATTGATGATGAGGCTGAACCGGTAGCGCTGGTTCTTCTGCATCTATACCAACGGAAATGATGCACAAATAAAGTTTGTAAAAGTTGGAACAGTGATGTATCTCATATTACTGTATCCTTGCCATTGTATTTGTAAACTTGTTTACAAAATCATTGATACCCCATCTAAAATGATTATGAAAATTGGGGTGTATATTACAGCTGAATATTGGGGCAAGTAATGACTGAAATCTGGCAAAATGTGTTAATACTCAATTCTTATGAGTCAAACATGGGGAGATGCCACACTTTTTTTTTTGGGGGGGGGGAGGAATTTTTCCCTTTTTTGTGATATGTTTTTCGCTTTACTGAGTCTCCTTCCAGTGATTTATTTGGAAGAGAGGGAGAGAGAGAGAGGGAGAGGGGGAGGGGGATAAAATGAAAGAACAAGTGCATAAATACTCATCTTAAGTTCTACAAACATACCCAAAGATCTAAGTTGTGAGCATTTTCTTTAAAAAGTCAATGTTACCTTGTAATCTTCCAATGCATCCACAGCAAGTTCATATCCATCGTGAGTATAAACGCAGAGTGCAGATAGGAGTTCAAAGACCTGCTTCTTTACAAGAACGTTCTTGGTGTCAAGTGCTGAAGGGAAGGGAAAGAAAGGGAGTGTAAAATATTGTCAAGAAAGTTGCTGGGATAAATAAGTATCTAGCCTTTTCTTTATCATGAGCTGATGGGGAATGAAAATGATGGAAATGATGATTTTGACAATGATGGTGGTGATAATAATGATAATAATGGTGGTGGTGGTGGTGGTGGTGGTGGTGGTGGTGGTGGTGGTGTGGTGATGGATGATGACGACAATGATGATGATGGTAATGATGATGGTGGTGCTGGTGATGTGGTGGTGGATGATGAAAATGATGAAGAAGATAATAATGCTGAACAGATGATGATGTGAACTGTAATATAACAAATGATGGATAGTGATGGTCAAATCGATGAAGGAGATGATAATAACGATGCTTGAATTATGATTTTGAATGCAAATCATTATAGTAAAACATGAATGCCTCTTCCATGCATAAGATAAAAGATTGATACTATTTGCATAATTCATCCCATGATTTCAGAACAATCTGGAATAAGTTTACATCTACAGAAGATCGCATCTCATCCAGAGTGTTTTAATGCCTCATTCTGCACGAGTTGGGAGGTAGCTAGCAGAGCTGTGATTTCAATTAAAATCTTTAGGTTCCATTTTAATATTCACTTATCTTACCAAATGCCATGACAGCTTATGCAAGAGTAAATTGTTTACTACAATGCGGTTTCATCAGAACACTATTATGCATTTATGCATACTACATCTTGTTGATGCCTTAGCAAATGTACTTTGTAGTTTGCACATCTTGAATGGTATATAATCTGTGGAGAGCAAGAGGGACATTCTCTTCTGAAATATTACACAGAGTCAATGCCCTACTGACTATAGACAGATGATACAATGCTACTTGTACTTCCACATTTTTTAATTGCAGCTTAAAACTCAAAATTAAAAAAGTGTAATGCGGAATAATTAGACAAAAATCATATGTAAAGGTTAACACTAGATTGGAAATACTAGGTATGAGAGACCATTATACAACTTATACCTTTTCATAAAACATTGCTGTAGTCAAAGCCCCAGAGGATATCAAAATTTTGAGATTTTAGGGAAACTAATGTAAGCAGTTAACAAAGAGAGTTATCTTTGATTTCTTTAAAGTTTTTTAGGTATAATGGTATGGTACATTTCTCCACCATCTAGAAATCACTTTCTGATGGGGTTCTTTCAAAGTTAGAGAGAATTCAAAATATCCATGTAGGTTTATGCCATCTCCTCCGGACTGCAGTGTGATGGGTGTCAACATGCAAATTATCCCATACAAGCTATAACCATGTCTCATTATTGGAATTAAGAAAACAATAAATGCATAATTACAGATGCAAATTTTTTGCAAATTCAGACTCTTGCCAGTTGGAACAATAACCAATACAGAGATACCAAGTAGGCCTAGATGATTGCTCTATCCACTAATTGATTCCATCATCTCCTCTTTTGGGAGATAATCGCCTGACCTCCCTTCACAAGCTTCTCTTTCAACAAGTTCTCATGAGCTGCATTTACACTGCAAACAAAAATCACCAATTTTTCTAACATTCGGATGTTTCGTCAGTAGTTTTGGTATGAGTGAACACCAACGTTTCTTTATAAGTTTTTCTAGTAGTGTAAAATGGCAGTAAAAAAAAAAATGATGATTTTTCAAAATGGTATTTGAAATGAGTAAATGGGCAATAACGATTTCAAGGCAGATAAGATTGTTTGCTATAATGCTAATCTGATCTTGCCAATGCAAACATTTGAAGGATTTTAATACCAGCAGATTTGGCATTGATTACACCATAACATGGACTGTCAGATATGAATGATGGTGAGATTATTGATTGAGTGTGAAATTAACTTCTTTCAAATGATGATTGCATGCCAATAAGAGCTATGGGGATAGATTTATTTTAAATGTATCTCATAATGACTGCATGATTCACTAATGCTCGCATTCCATGCTTGACACTTCTTTTATTTAACTGACAAAATTGAAATGTCTTCAGAAATGTAAATGTTCCAAATACCATCTTTATTATTGTATCTAGTGTATCTACTTTGCCATCATGTACACTATTATCCTTATTCTGCCTGCTTTAACACCTCAGTCACACCTTTGCGTACTTGGCTTGCGTATTGCTGAGTATTTATGGCAAGCCGTTTGAACATTTATTCCTATTTCTTGATATCAAGAAATGATTTTCTGTTGTAAAGCAATGGTAACTCTTGATATCAAGAATTTAATTTCTTTATCAACAAATAGGAATATATGTTAAAATGGCTTGCCATTAATATGCAGCAATACGCGAAGGTGTGACTGAGGCATTACAGAATGCAATGGAATAACCTTTGTTTTCATACAGTATCACCAATGAAGCAGTAACTTCCTGTGCCGGGTGTTCATCTCTGTTCTTTGGAAGCTAATCGAGTGACTTTCAACAATGGGCAAATCTTCCACGTCAATAGAAATCCCACTTTCAATACAAACATGTCAAGGTCCCATATTAATATTATATCTACAATGCTTTATGACACTAAGATATGTTTATTCAAATAATCAGTTTTCAAGGCACGTGTCATCTTTTCAGAGCCAGGAGGGTGTTAAATCTATGTTCAAGTATAAATAAATGTACTTTTAGCTGCAAACAAATATACTGATCTCCTGAGTGCCAGACAGACATTACTCTTGGCAAGACATTGATCTACATTTGCCACACCCAGGTGATGTAAATGGGTACCAGGCAGGAATTAATTCTTTGAAATGCTAGAGCGCCGCAATGGCAGCACAGCTAAAGCCGGGGTAATAATCTCCAAGTTTGGAAGCGCTTAGTGATTCTAATAAGCGCTATATAAAAACTGAGTATTATTATTATTATTATTATTATTACTAGACATCATCATGCCAACAAAATAGGCAAATAAATTAATGAAATACAGGTATACAATTATGTGCACATTTAGGGAAGAATGTGAAACAAACATTTTCCATTATAATCTCATTTCCTCTACTGTCTGGAATTCCATTTGGCCTTACAAAATCCTTGCTAATTCATAATTTACAAATCAAATTTCCATGATGCCACAGTGATCAGCAATACTAGGCAAAACTTCAGGTATTCATTCATACATACATTTTGTCTTTTATTTACCAACCTTCATGCTGAAACCAATCAGTAAATATGTACACATTTTTCTTTGAATGAATGCAAACCGCAAAGGAAGTACAGAAACTTATCAATGCCTCAAACATTCCTGTGGGTTTCGTTATCACAATGACTATCATTGACTGTGAAAAGTCCAGGGTTAGGGTTTACAATCATGCAAGAACAAATATCATAATTACTGGGACTAAATGGCCTGTTACATAAGGTCTTTAAACAACTTTATAGGGTTGTGATAAGCTATAATCACACATCGAATTACAGAATGGAATTTGCAATGGTGTATTAGTATATGTTGTTATTGTACCCAAGAACTGGGATGAATATTGCCAAGCCCAATATATTTCACCATATTCATTCAATCCTACACAGACCTGGTTTTAAAACCAAAAGACAAATTTCTTCACAATGTCAACATTATGAATCACCACAGTAAATACTGTTTAAAGTCAATCTTGTGAAAGCAGTTGAACTTTTCACTATTTGTAGCCTTAAATCATTACAAATTACTCCCCCCCCCCCCCCTCCCCTCACAAACACGCCCACTTTTACGTTAGGGATGATAGACTGGCTTTACCATATTGAAGGTAGTGCCAAACTGATAACTTTGTCATACATTTAATTGGTTAAAAAGATAATTTCCTATCCTATCAATTTTTTAATTTACTAGAGTTAAATATTCTTCTAAATATGAACAAAACATTAAATACCATGCAACTAAGCAATTTTGAATTGATAAAATTTCCTGTGTTCCCTCATTCTTCTTCACCTCGATTCTCTGACACGAGTACTGGGTATGTTATCAATTTTGTAATGGAAATGGTTGCCCTAGTTCAAATGCAAGAATGTCTGTTTGTTAGATATCGAGTGTTATGTAGGTGTATTTTGATAATTGAAAAAGTTCTACCATTATTGTCATCACACATCTTAATACCGGTACGTGTCATCCATGTAGAAAAGCTCTCTACAAATTAAAATGTGACTATAAATTGTGTCACTTTCCGGTTTGCAGAGGAAAAAGGTATCATAATTCAAGTAAGAATCTGTGTTCGATTTCTTACATGAGCAGTACATTTTCATATCCACTCAAGTGTATTCACTTCATCATACCTGATAGTCAGATCTTGTAGTTTGAATGAAAGTAGGGTTCAGTTTTTTCACTCTTTATTTGCAATGAATAAAAACATAGACTGCCACAGTGGCACAGTGTATGAAATATGTTATACAAGTCATGTGCATTTTACTTGTGACAAAAGTCAACTGTAGCAGTCAAGGGACCCGTTTCACAAAACTTGTCATCAGTGACAAATAACAGTTTTTGATATAAGCTAGAGAAATCCTAGCTTCTGATTGGTTATCAGCAGATTTGTCACTGATTTTAGTCATTTGTCATTGAAAAAAAGGCTTTGTGAAATGGGTCCCGGTATGTTCCATTGATCAACCAGAGACAGTTACAAAATCTTCCAATCTCTCCAAGGTTTCTTACAGTTTCTTCACTTTCATGACTTCATATAATACAAAGCCAACATTTTAAATGATCTTTTCTATCATTTACAGATATCTGGCATTATTTCTTACTTTGAATAGATAAAAGAACAAACATTCAGAGTAAATATGTCAGACGTAAACTAAACCCTATTCTTCATCTAGTTAGCTATCATTCAGCCACTCCTCAATTTCAATGGTTAATATCCAAAATTTACTGAACAAAGATGTGATCACAGCATAAATATACTTCATATTTGTAAACACACATGTCTTTTTTGCAACTGAATAATAGTGCACGAGTTGACAATTGTAGTACAAAACATACATAACAGGAAAGTGAGCGCAGT